CCAGCCTCTGCCATTCCGTGATTCTGTGACTCTGTGGTGTCAAAATTGTAACTGAACCAAAACCTCTCTGCAAAATCCTTGATCCTAATGTATTTTTATATACTTTATCTGTGCTCTTAAAACACATTTACCACACATCTCATTTAACTTTCCTTCATCGTTTTTGTGTTTTTCTACTTTTATTTGGAGCTAAGTGTTACGAGTCACTTGTAATAATTTCACTGCTGTAATAGTCAAATCTGTGAAACAGAATAAAAGTCTTGTAAAATAAAATGCCTCTTCGGGTTGATCCTGTAAAATACCTGTTACACTATGTTTGGAATAACTAGGTGACAATACTGGTTGATTTAAAGAGTTTTGCACAATAGATGATGTTGATTTCTAGAGTAATCCAGCCCAGTGTATGGACAGCAATTTCCAACTCTCTTGAATTTCTGGATCTGGGATCAGCATTCCCTCTGATCACTGCAAAGCTGTGTGGCCTTTGAGGATGGAAGATTTTGGTTCACTCTTGTGACATTCTCTCGATAATCGGTTCATTCAGCGACTGGGGAAAATAGGAGTTGCTTCGAGCAGGTTGTGAAGACAAAAAATGTTGTTTCTAAATTCCTGCCTTTGTAATTCCCCAAGAGAAATAAGGTTGTCAGATGGGGACTTAGCATTATCCAGGGGATAAAGATACTGGCTGGTAAGTCTGGCCTAGAGGAATGGTTATTGGTAAATAAACGTCTTGGGAGTGAGCTGTGTTATCCAAGAGATTTGGATACCAGGAAGCTGTTCTAGCTCAGAGGATTTTTATAATGGATTAAGGGAATTCCTTAAATAAAAATGTCCTGCTCTTGGAGTAACTCAGAACACTTTGCCTGGCAAAATTTAAACCCCTAAAATAAACAGCATGGTTCTAGTTTCCTTTAGAAATAGGTGCTTGGTGTTACATTAAAACTCCGTGGTTGTTTTCTCTTCTGCACAAGGGAGCAGGAGCTTGTTTGTGGCATCACACATCTGCAAATGCCTCTGCCTGTGCTCTCAGACATCCACTGAAATCCCCGGGGGCCAGAGGATTAATCACAGGCATCAAGTTAAGCATGCCTGTGTTTAGCAGGAGTAAAGATTTATTCCAAGGATCAGCTTTGTTCCAAGGCCTGGCCCTGATCCATAACCGGGATTTTTCTGTCCTACGGCAAGGCAGGTAACAGAAATGTTTGTCCTGCTGGTGTCTTGAAATGCTTCTGCCCTTCCTTTCCTCGAGCCTTGGCTGGAGGCTCCTGCTCAAGCAGAACTTGGGAGCCTTGTGTGGGATTTGGGCCCGTATTCCTCCTGCCAGGTGGGTGTGTGGGGATTTCTGTCCACCCAGAGGGGAACCCCTTGGTTTCCAGACTGTGAGCAGGTCAATAAATGGGGTGTCACGTTGAACCAGAGGTTTGGCTTTAAATGTCTGATGGGAGGATCTGGGAAGATGTTTGTCTTTGAGCTGCTTTCCTGCCTTTCTGTCCCAGGCATGTGGGACGTCAGTGGGAATTCTGTTGTCTGTTGTTGCCTTTTTAGTGTTTTTTCCCTACTTTGAGCCACCAAGCAATTTGATCAGCCTGGGTTATTGCCCATTTCCCCTGTTACATTCAAATTCAGAAGCCGTGATTACCATCTTAATTTTCACCGCCAGAGCATGTGATATTTTATATCAGAAGGAATTTCCTGTAAAATGAAGTTCTGATAACAGAAAGTTGCATTAGTGGTGGAGATGAAAACTAATCCCTATCGCTGAGGCTGCTGTCGCCCGGCCTACACGGAGATAAGACAAAACCATCCAGAAAACAAATGCATCTTTTTGTAACCCACACTTCATTTTTACGGCGTTATTAAATTCCCTTGGAAGGCTTTCAGCAGAATTGGTTATTGAATTCAAAAGCCTGGCAGCCAGAGTATTTTTCCACATACGTTTTGATCTGATCTATTTATCTGATTGTTTCAGATGTGATGCACGAGCACTGGCTCCCAGTGCCAGCAGAGTTCCAGCAGCTCCTCCTGATCACGTTTGGCTCTCTGGCTTCATTCCCTGTGTAGCCTCCAGCAGGTACCGTGCTGGAGTTGAGAGTCCTCTCAATAAAACACCTGCTTTGTGAATGATTTCGTCCAGGGAGAGCCACGGTGTCCAGACTGTAAGTGACCCACAAGATTGGATTGCTTCCCCCCCAGGAAAGGCCAGGGAGGAGTTAGGAATGCAAGACATGGGAATTGGCTCTTGCCCTTCAGCTAAATGGTTTACTTTGAAATGTCTCAAACTTCATTTCCCTCCGCAGCCTTTGCTGGCCTTTCATTTTCTGGGATGAACTCTGTGATTTCCATGGCTGTGAAGCTTTGTCACCTCTGGTTTTCTCGTCCCCTCCAAAAAGCCCCACGTGAAACCAGACTTGGCTACTCCTTGTCCCTTACAGTTTCCAGAGGATTAATGTTTTTGAGCCTCAGTCTGGTCGGGACTTGCTTCCCCAGGGAGGGGGGTTCTGTTTCCAGGTGCTTTTTCCATTCGAGCACAGAGCTCAGGTTTTACAGCCTCATTCCATTGCTCTGTGATGGGTTTGGCTTTTGATCCAGGGTTTCAGGCAATGGGAACAGGGCCATGGATTGAAACAAGGACAGGGTTCCTCTGCTCTCCCAGCGTGCTGCCCTGGAATGTGGAGTGACTGCCTGTACTCTGACACATGGAAAACCCATCCATCTCCTGCAAAAAAGGTTGCTCCAAGTTTTTCATCCCTGCCACCAATTTCTCGCTGTTTTTATTAACGTTCTCCCTCCTGACAAAGGGAAAATCTGGGATAGTTTTTCCTGCTGGGTGAATTCTCTTGGTGGAAGTCTTCCCTGTTATTTTTCTGGGATTCCCTTTGATACAGGTGTGCCTGGGTGGGCCACACAGCAGAAGTCTGGATATTTAACATTCTTCCCGAGTGCTGTAATCTCAGGACCCAGCAGTGCAGAGCCAGGAGCTGCTGGGTTTGTTCTCTCTTGAGGAGGATCAGCTCCCAGCAGGCACCCTGAATTATTTGACCTTTTGTCTTTTCATTCTTTTTCCTATCAAATAATTCTCCCGTTTGTCATCTTTATGTGGTGGCTGATGACACTGGAAATGGTTCAGCTGTAAAATGAGCCTCTCATTTCAACAGGATCACCTCGGCTCTGCCAACCAACCTTGTCAGGTCTCCTCCACCGAGGAAGCTCCAGGCGTTGTCATCTCATATCACCTCTTGCTCTTGCTCATTTCCCAGACAACCAAGTCCATTTGTCCTGTTACATTTTGTGCTGTAAAGGTACGTGCTGGGTTATTTGAGGTCAACAACAGCTCTCCACACCTTAATGGGGCCGGGAAGTTTTAAAGCACATCTAAAGTGCTTGAGTGTTCACCTCATTCACACCTGTCTCTGCTCCAGACACCATTTCAGTCCTCTGCTAATCCCGTTCCTCCCATCTCCTTCCCATGGCCCAAGCACAGGTTCTGTGATGGATGGGGAGGTGCAGAGTGAAGAGCAGCTGTAGAATCACAAATTAACTCAGCTCTCAGCTGATTCTGGTTTTTGGGCTCCTCTGCCTGGTCCCAAGCTTTCACCTTCACTGCCAGAGAAACATCAAGGGCTGTGGGGATCTGTGGTAGAGAGAGGAACAGTCCCAAGTCCCAGTCCTGGCCCAAGACACCACACAAGTTTTGCTGGCTGGTGAAAACCACCCACTCCCATCCTGTGCTGCCCAGGGGGACCATCCTCATCCTCCCTCCTCCATGCAGTCACCACTGCTCTCTTAATGGCTTGGTCATGCTCTCCTCATCTCCATCTGAAATGCTCTTTAAACCTAAAACAAAAATGATTAGGCAGGCTTAGGAAACGGCAAAAGCTTCAAAGGATTAAATGCTAACACTTCCTGCTACCCTTGGAGAGATCAAACACTCTGTGCTGTTCGCCCTGCAGCGGCAGAAAACGGCACTAAATCTTCCCCTGCAATCAGGGGATTTCGGGATTGCGTGTACTGAGGAGCAGGAGGCTGAGTTATGAGGAAAGATTAAAATGACAAAATATATATATCTTGGCCGAGCCACTGCTAAGAGACGGTGTGACAACAACGTGACACCCGTGTGGATGGACCCGAAGGGCACAGAGAACACGGGGAGGTGGAAGAGTTTGGGGTGAACGTGGGGTGATGGTAGAAATGACCTGAAATGTGAGGGTGATGTTGGAGGCAGGAGGACTGAGCACCATCGCCCCAGGCTCACAAGCCATTCCCATCCACTGATTCCCATCCCTGCCATCCCTGGGCTTAAACATCAGCGAAATCACTGCAAGTGAAACCACTGCTACCTGTTTTGTTAAAACACACCCATTTCGGTGAACTAAAACCAAGGAGAAGTTCAGGATATGGCTCTTTTTTGGGGAAGTGCTAAATGAAGGGCCAGAGACCACTCTGGAAATTTGGGAGTGGACACATACACACACAGCTTTTCCACTGATAATAAAGGCAAAGCCCACAGGAAGCATAAAACCAAGGAGAAGTTCAGGATATGGTTGTTTTTGGGAAGTGCTGAATTAAGGATCACCCTGGAAATTTGGGGATGGACACACACACAGAGCTCTCCCATTGATAATAAAGGAAGCATGAAAGTAACTACAAGTTCAGGACATGGTTATTTTCTGGGAAGTGCTGAATTAGGGGCCAGAGACCACTGCAAATTTGGGGATGGACACCCCGCTCTCCCATCGATAACAAAGGCAAAGCCCACAAAGAGCACTGGAGAGGAGCGGGTCCATCCCCTCCGAGGGCCCCGCCAGTGGAGACATTTAAAGCCAAAAAGGATTTTTTTTTTCCTGAGCCAGCGACGGTCGTTTAACCCTAAAAAAGAGGGTTTTTTTTTCCAGACCGAGCACTAAAAAACACTAAAAAAAAGTGTGTTTTTCCTGGCCGAGCCCCGGCCGGCGGGGCCCGGCCCCTCCTCGGCGCCTGACGCCTCCCCCGGCCGGGCGGCCATGGCGGCTCGGCGGCGCTGAGCGGGGCGATGGCCATGGCGGGGCCCGGCGCGGCCCCTCCGCGCCTGGCGCTGGCCCTCGCCGCCCTCGCCGCGCTGGTCGCCGTCAAGTACTACCGGGACGCGGAGGCGGCGCGGCGGCAGGTACCGGGCACGGGGCGGCGCCGGGGCCGGGAGGGGACACGGAGGGATGAGGGGATGGATGGAGGGCGGGGGGGGGGGACGGGGAATGGCGGGCGCGATCGCGCCGCCGCCCCGCCGAGCGTGAGGGGGGAGGCGGCGGCCGCGGGGCTGAGGGGGCCGAGCACCGCACATCGGTGGCCAGCGGGGCTGAGGTGGCCGCCACCGGGCTCAGGGGACCACCGGGAGTTGGTGGCCACCGGTGGTGAGGTGGCCGTAGCCAGGCTGGAGGGACCACCAGCCATCAGTGGCCGCTGAGGTTGAGATGGCCACCACTGGGCTGAGGGGAGCACCAGGAGTTGGTGGCCACTGGGGTTGAGGTGGCTGTGGCCAGACTGAGGTGGCCGCCAGGCATTGGTGGCCACCAGTGTTGGGGTGGACACTGGCCTTGAGGTGGCCACGGCCAGGCTGAGGTGATGTCTGCCAGTTTAAGTGGCCGCCAGGGGTTGAGGTGGCTGCTGCTGGGCTGAGGAGACCACCACACTTAGGTTGCCACTGGGGTTGGGGTGGCTGTGGCCGGGCTGAGGGTGCCGCTGGGGTTGGGGTAGCCACAGGGGCTGAGATCCTGCCACCAGGCTGAGGTGACTGCCACACATCAGTGGCTGCTGGGTTGAAGTGACCACAGAGCTGCGGTGGCTGCTGGCGTTGAGGTGGCCACAGGGCATTCGTGGCTGCTGGCGTTGAGGTGGCCACTGCCAGGCCGTGGTGACCACAAAACCATGGCAGCCACTACTGAGCTGCGGGGACAAACAGGTATCAGCAGCTGCAGAGCTTAAGGTGGCCACTGCCAGGCTGAAGTGGCCACCATTGAGCTGTGGTACCACACGCCAGTGGACACGGGGCTTGAGGTGGCCACTGCCAGGTTTCTGCAGAGCTGTGGTGGCCACCGGGCTTGAGGCGACCGCAGGGATTGTGGTGGCTGCCACCAGGCTGAAACCACCACGGAGCTGTGGTGGCCACCAGGCTCCAGCAGTGACCAGTGAGACCAGCTGCCCCCTGGAAGGAGGAGGAAGAGCAGGAGCAGCAGCACCTCCTCTGCTGCGGGCTGTGAAGGACACTGCAGAAGCAGCAAAAAAACAGGGGATGAAAACAGGAACAGGGTTTTTATGGGGGTTTTGTGTATGTTTGGGTTTGTTTTTTTTTTTCTTTGAAATTAGGCTGATTGACTGGTTTTGATTGTAATCCCCATAATTCCAACGGCTGTGCCGTGCTTTGGAGAACACCTTTGTTGGAGATGGCGCTCCCCTGGCTCTGCGCTTCGTCTGTGAACATCTGAGAAGGTTCTGGGAAAAGAGCAGGCTTCCCCTTCTTGATATTTCTGTAGTACAAGGAGAAGTGTTTTTAAAGGATGTTTTTAAAGGATGCCTCTTTTCTTTGTGTCTTCTTGCATTGCAAAAAGGGAAAAGTGGTTCAAACCAGTTAGTTAGAAGAATTTTTCCTTCAAGGACAGAAGGGTGAGGACAGTCCTCACAGCCTGACACAAGCCAGGTCTTCTGGAGGTTTGTTTTTTTCCAGAGGACAGGCAGACAGCTGTCACTGGGTCCTGCTGGAGAGGAGAACAAAATGTGAACAGCCCAAGGGTTTCATTTTTTCTTCCTCTTGCTTCAAACATATGTCTTGTCTCTTTCTATGGAAATGTTTGTTTAGCTAAGCAACCCACAAGCAGGTGGGAGAGGAAAACTCTTTGTGAAAAACCACAACTCTACAGAAAGACTGAAGAAGCTCGGTCTTACCCCTCTGGCACAAACGGGGGAACTTTGTGTTTCTTATAATCCCAGATTAGAAAGAAAAAGGAAAAAACCCCACAAGCTGTGAGAGCTTTCTTTCATGTGAATGTTATCAGAAAGCAGAAGGCCGAGCCCTGACATCTCTCTCCCCTTTTAAACATCACTTTTATCGTCCCTCGTGGCCGAGTGCAGCAGGACTGGTGTGTTCTCCCTGGAAACCTTTGTTCCTCCGTGTTTGGGGTCTTCTCTCCAGCCAGGTGGGCACTCCTGGGGTCCTGCTGGTGGTTTGTCACTTCTTAACCCGTGTGTCAGTGCAGCTGAGGGATGTGACCGTGCTTTCAGCGCTGTCTGAACGTTGATTTTTGGATGCTCTTATCCAACGCCTGTGTTCCCACTTCACGTCCTGCTGTCTTGGCTGCAGCCAGAGATGTTCCTGTGGGGTGCAGCTGCTTCTCCTCCTGCCTCCAGCCCTGCTCAGTAAGGGATGATGATTTCTCCCCACGCTCCAGCAGCAGGCAGAGTCCAACCAGATGAAAGCTGGGAGAAGTCCTGGAGCCTGGCACAAGGCTTTGTGGTGTGATCCTGGCACCTGGCTGACAGGGCAGGTGCTCAGGGAAACATTCCCCATTTACAGGGCCAAGGATGCACATCCCCATTCATTCTGGGAACAGAAGCACAGTTTTAGCCCCAGGAGTGTGGGCAGCCCACAGTGGATTGTTCCTGTGCACAAATAACCATCTTGTTCCTTCATTTTTTCACCTGTGTAGCCCCTGCACTCTCCCCTCCTTGTCTTTCCTCAGCCATGCCCACATCCAGATCTCCAGTTTGTATTCCAGGGTCTTTATTTCTCTCTGTCTCAGGCCTGGAACTGCCCTGGAAGGCTCGTAAGTGCTTTTGTTGCTGCAGCTGATGGGAGCAAAGCCTTCCAGGCTGCATTAGTGCTGCTTCAGGCTGGCAGGCAACAGATGGAAAATAAACTCATTCAGGAGCTCTGGGGATGGTGGTGGTGCTGCAGGCAATGGAGAACAGCAGAATACAGAGGATTTGTGCTCACAGCTCCAGGTCTTTCCAGAGGGGTGTCAGGGGAAGCTGCCCCAAGTGATGGATCACAGGGGATGTGCCGAGGGCTGCCAGTGAGGGGCTTGTCTCGCTTGCCCTATATCTCTCTCTCCTCTCACACCAACGTGGAGCTCTTCTGTTGTGCCTCCAAGTTTTCCCTTTCCCTGCAGGGCTGAGACTGTGGAGTGGAAATAACTGGAAGCATCCAGAGCCCTTCTGGGGCTGCTCCAAGGGAGACATCGCCTTTCAGCCATGCTGGGTCTCCATGTGGGCTTTGCAGAGGGAGAAACTGAGGCACAGGGTGGCTGGAATCTTGTGGGGCTTTCCGGAGAGGACCATGGGGTTTGTGGCTCCCTGATGGATGGCTGAGGGAGCAGGGAGCCAAAATGCTCCATCCAGTCCCAAGGCTGGATGACCAGAGCAGGGCAGTTGTGGGCAGTAGTGCTGGCTTGGATCTCACGAGTTCCAAGGGCTCAGCTCATTCCCTTTGTGTTTTTGTGATGTGGATACTCATGAATTTGACTGCCTTTGTTTCACTACCCATCAGTTCATTCCAGCAATCACTATCTCCAGGTGCTCTGAATATCTACAGGTTTAGGACTCACTAGCTGGAAAAAGTGGGAAATGTGTCTGACAAAAGATTTTTAATCTGACTCTGAGCAAATGGTTCAGTTTGAATTACTCAGCCAGATGCAGTTTTAATATTCTCGTGCCAACAGTTCCTGGACACTGATCCCAACTGTAAATAGCACAAAATCCTGCCAAGGGGTGTTAATCTTTCCCCTGGATGGTGTTTGTGTGCTGGGAAGAATGCAGATTAACTCCAGGGCTGAGAGGGGCCAGAGCGGATTTCTGCAAGAGATTGGGATGAAATCTCACTTGCCTCTTCTTCCCAAACTAGGAGCTGGCTCTGAAGTCCTTGGGAAATGAGGGGCTGTTCCTCTTTTCTTCTCTGGACACAAACAATGACCTGTACCTCAGCCCAGAGGAGTTCAAGCCAATAGCTGAGAAGCTGACAGGTAGGTACCTGTGTGCCTTCCAGAGCTCTCCCTGCACAGACCAAGCAAAAACCAAAGCTAATGCACTCCACAGGTTTTATTCACCTAATATTTTATTCACTTTATTATTTTCTGGGCGCTGTTTTGGGCCCTATTTACACGAAGAGAGGCCGCGAAGCTTTACATGTTTTTGGAAAGGCTTAAGCCCTAGACATCACTTTCACAAAGTAGAGTTTTTATAAGATGGAGGATCCCATTGCTGGACTAGCAAAGTACATAAGTTACTTTGTCTGGAGCTTAAAGGGGATTTGGGATGGGTGAATGCAACAAATACAGCTCAGCCCAGGCTAGGCCAGAACTATTAGTGAGTCCCAGCGTTCCATTCATCCGCTCCCCCGGCTGGGGCGGCCTCTCTTGGATGGCAGTTGTGGGAGATCATGTTTGGAGACCATATCAGTGCAGAGCAAATGTCTCTGCTGGTGCCAAGCAGGGAGAAGTGTGGGGATGATGATGCACAGTGGAGCTCCCAGTGCAGTGGAAACACAGACAGTGTTTGCTTGTGCTGTCATGGATTGGCTCGAGCGCGTGTTGGGATCGCTCCGAGGTGTGGGGAACCTTCCTGGCTGAGCTGTGGGGTTTGGAGGCATGGAAACATGGATTCCCTGACAGGTTTGGGTTGGAATGGACCTTAGAGCTCATCCAGTTCCAGCTCCCTGTCATGGGCAGGGACACCTTCCACTAGCCCAGGTTGCTCCAAGCTCTGTCCAGCCTGGCCCTGGACGTTTCCAGGGATGGGGCAGCCACAGCTTCTCTGGACAACCCGTGCCAGGGCCTTCCCACCCTCACAGGGAAGATTTCCTTCCCAATATCCAATCTAAACCCACTCTCTTTCAGTTTAAAGCCACCGAGTTGGCTGCTAAAAGGAGGACTCCCCTTTAATTCTTGCAGCCAAAACTGTCTCTGGGGTGGGTCTGAGTTTTGCTGCATAGGGACAGCTGGGAAACTCCCAGTGCTCCTGGATTTGCTGGGATAAATGTCTAATCATTTCACAATTGCTTAAAAAGGGAGGGAGGGGAAACAGCTGCTTAAATTCCTGTCCTTTTGTCTAGGGGTTGCTCCCATCTCAGAATTTGAAGAGGAGGAGATGCCTGATCCAAGCGGGGAGACTCTGTCCGTTGTGGCAAAATTCCAGCCTTTGGTCATGGAAACAATGACGAAGAGCAAGGATGGTTTCCTGGGAGTAGGTGTCATGCAGAATGTGTTTATCCACAAATTCTGGAATAAATATGGCCACAAATTCTGGAATAAACACGTCCAGTGGGCTGGTAGCATCACTGGGAATGTGTGCTGGAGCGTTAGGAGGGGGACATAGTCCTGCTGAAGCCTTTGGGATTTGATGTGATGAGGAAACTCTCTGCTTCCTGCAGCATTTCAGTGTTTTCAGCACACTCAGCAGCTCCATGCCCCAGTTAAGACACCCTTCCTGGGAAGCTGGGAGTAGGAATTAGACGTGGCTCTCCTGGAGCTAATTCCAGGAGCAGTGGTGTTAGGTGGCACGTTCCCCTCTCTATTACTCACATTCTTGAAAGGTGACAGAACTGTTTGGGTTGGTCAGAAGAATTTAGAATGTGATATATATTTTTCCCCCTTTTCTAAAGCCTCCTTACATCCATGAGCATTGGAAGGGTCCAGTCTGGGCTCTGATAATGTCTTTTGTTCACAGATTTCTCACGTTGCTCTCTCTGGGCTGAGGAACTGGACGGCCCCAGCAGCCCCTATGAGTGTGCTGCTTGCCAGGCAGTTTAAAGCCTTCCTTCCTCCAAAGAATAAACTGGATCTCGGGGATCCGTGGTGGATAATTCCCAGTGAACTGAACATCTTCACTGGGTATCTTTCCAACAACAGATTTTACCCTCCGCCTCCCAAGGGCAAAGAGGTGAGAGATGAAACTCAGTTTCTATATACCCGAGATGTAGTTGGTGGAAATGTTCTGCTTCATAGCCCAGATGAATCACAGGAATGCCCAGAGGGACAAGGCTGTTGTTATGTGTCTCCCTGGGTTTTCTAAGGAAGCAGAAAGCCAGGAGCACCGTCTCCTAAGCTGGAGGTAAAACTGAGAGCAGGCAAGATGAGGCTGACTTGAGTAACTTCATCTTGCTTTGTTAATCATGTGGGATTTTAGGATGGTTTTTCCCAGGGGGGGTTATCCAGAAAGCAGCTGTGTGATGTGATCATTCCTTGTGGAGCAGTGGCCAAGTGCTACCCCAGAGGGGAACACTTTGGTTGACAAGTGAAAAACACTGTGTGTACACAGCAGGTAAAGCCAGGCATGAGCATCACCCTCCCCTGGGTGCCCAGGCAGGTGTCAGGGATCACTGAGCTGATGCACCTTCACAGCCTGCTGTGATTATTGATTGCACACCCACTCCTTCAAAATCTGAAACCCTATGGATGGAGGCAGCCTCGTAGATCAGTTTACTGTCCTGACTGGGATGATGGAAACCTGCAAACAATGGGAATAGCGTAGAAACCCTGGAAGATGGATTTATTTTTAAAAGCCATCCCTTGCTTCATCTCCTCGGTTTGGGAATAGGTTGGTCTCTGAGCTAGTTTTGAAGTCACAGCCATTCTCTCGCCTTCCTGCTCTGGTGGGGAGTTGCTTTGGAGCTGCAAAGCTGCGTGGAGGAGCTGTCCTCATTCTTGCTCTCCTACAATTGCTTCTCTAGGTGATAATCCACAAGCTTTTGAGCATGTTCCACCCCCGGCCCTTCGTGAAGACCCGCTTTGCCCCCCAGGGGGCCGTGGCCTGTATCCAAGCCATCAGCAGCTTCTACTACACCATAGCATTCCGGTGGGTCCAGGGGGCTTGAGGGGGGCCTGGGGGCACTTCTGAGTTTGTCCCATATCCCAGGGGAGTGGAGAAGGCTGCTGTGAGCCCGTGGCAGACAGCACACATGCTGCCTGTGCAAGGCCAGGTGTGTTCTGGCTGGGAGGGAGGGGAAGTGTCAAGGAAGAGGGGGGTTCACAGCCAGCTCTTGCTCCCAGTGTCACTGTGTCCCTGGTGAGGCAGGGACTGTGCCCACATGCAGGACAGCAGCCGTTCTCCATCACCCTTGGAGCTGTTCTGGCTGAACGGGGAGAGTCTGATTAGCAAGAAATTTGCTAGATTTTGGTTAATCAGGTGGTGGGTGTCTTTGCAAGGGGGAGAGTCTGGGGAATTATTCTCTTGTTTTATTGGGAGTGTTACAGCTTTTATTTGCCTGATCAAGCTGGAAGGGAGGCTGAAGGGGTCTTGCTCTGTGCTTGTGTTTCAAGAAATGATGATGTAATTTGTCCTCCTGGATGGACACTTAGTGCCCAATTCCAAAAGGCATCAATACTGGAGATGTTCCTGACCCAGAGGATCTTCTCCAGTCTTTTACTCGCTTAATTGTGTGACATGAAAAGCTTTTTGAACTCCACCTCTCTGCCCCAGTTTAGGTTCATAATTTCTGGTGCCTGGAGACAGCTTTTCCCTGCTGTCATGTGCAGCACATGATCCTTTCTCTCCCCCGAGAACTGCAGCTGACGGCTCCTTTCTCTTTTCAGGATCCACGCTGAGTTCCAGCTGAACGAGCCACCAGACTTCCCCTTCTGGTTTTCCCCAGGCCAATTCACAGGTCACATCATCCTCTCCAAGGACTCTTCCCATGTCCGAGAGTTTAAGCTCTTTGTCCCTAACAACAGGTACAGCTGTTTCTCCCTCCCCCTGGGTGCTGAACAGACTTGAGGATTGTTACAGACAAGGCCCGGCTGGAATCCAGGGGCTCTGTGTGCGTGGGGGGGGCTGGTGGGCTCTGTTTAGGTGAAGGTACAAGTGCAGTGACAGCCCTGTCCCCTGTGGGCATCCTGGAAGTGCAGGGAAGGCAGAGCTGCAGCCTGAGCTTTGGCCAGGCTGGTTCTGCTGTTTCCTCATCTGCTTTCCCCACACGTCCTTCCCTGCCAGCGGCCGGCACGGTCACCGTGTCCTCAATTCTCTAGTTGCTCCCTAAACCGGTTCTGATGCAATTTTTTAGGAATAGCTTTGTTTATCAACAGGTCCAGGGGGCATCTGGCTTGGGAGACGCAGGGAAGGACAAGGATGGAGAGGGGACAGGAGGGAAGCAGGGCACAGGCTGCTGGGAACGTGGAGCACAGGGTTGGGAGTAGTTGTCCTTGCACAGCCTGAATGCAACTGGCACCTGCTGCAGCTGAGTGTCCAAACCCGAGCTATCCTGTGCCAAACCACTTTGGAAGGAGGTACCTGCAGGCATGTGGGAAGACAAACGTTGAAGTTGTCCTGCTGTTGCCCTAGACAGGCAGCAGCCTCCTCATTAGTAGCACTGCTGCAAGCACTGCTCCTGTCCCAGCACTCCCTGGCTGTGGCAGGGGCTCCCACGGCCGTCAGGTACCTGTGGGAAGCTGCAGAAGCTCCCTGTGTGTCTGTGATCACAGAATCATGGAATGGTTTGGTTGGAAGGGACCTTAAAATCATCACCCCCAAGTTCCAACCCCCTGCCATGGGCAGGGACACCTTCCACTAGAACAGGTTGCTCCAAGGCCCATCCAGCCTGGTCTTGAACACTTCCAGGGATGGGGCAGCCACATCTGTCTGTGGTGGATGAGCCCATGCTGTTTTGAGCCAAGTTCCTGGAAAAGGAGTAATTTGAGCTCTGCAGTTGCCTGTAAATGCATCTCCTCTAGTCACTGAGGATCCCTGACACATTCCAGCGTCTGATTCACTCACCAGTAACTGTCCCTTGGTACTTGGGGGATGAGGAGGGTGTGGAAAGCAGCTCTAGGCACAGTCCCAGTGCCTGGCTTCAACCACTGAAGTTAAGCAAGGCCTAATGCTCCTTCTTCAACATATTTTTTGCTTGGAGTCTCACAGGTTAAGGTTTTGTGTGCATAGCTTTGCACTAGCTCATTGCTGCTCTCCTGGCAAGGAGCTGGAAGTGTTTCAGGGGAGAAAAGCTTCAAATCTCTTTGCCCATGACGTGTGGAGTGAAAATTCTATTATAACATTACCCTGGCGACTCAACCCCAGTGGCTCTGTCAGCACATTTCTTACCGCGAGCAGACACTCGGGGCTCTGCCAGCAGCTCCTTGCAAAAGCCTTTTGCTTCCAAAAAAACACTTTTAAAAGTTCAGCAGGATTAGAATGTGCGAATTAAGTGCTGGGAAGGCAGAGGGAGCAAAGACATCTCTCTCTTCTGTAATTTGACAGAGCTCAGAGGTGTGAGGGCGTTTTCCCAGGGAGCTGAGTGGGTGCCTGGGCCCTGATCCAGCAGGGATCTGGTGGTGTTGGTCTGGTGGAGGGAACACGGTGATCTCCAAGGAGCCAGAGCCTCCAGGCTCCAGTGCTGACCCTGCAAGAGGAGTGTTGGATGTTGCCTTTTTTGGGGGGGTTTCCCACATGCAGCTTTAGCCTTGGTTTATGGACATGCTGGGTTCCCCTTGCAGGTCTCTGAACGTGGACATGGAGTGGCTGTACGGGGCGAGCGAGAGCAGCAGCATGGAAGTGGATATTGGATACCTGCCTCAGGTGTGTGGTCACTCCCAGTCCTCCATCCATGGGCAGCAGCTCCACAGGGATTTGTGCTCTGGTGGCCCCAAGCTGTATCACATCCATTATCCTTGATCTTTAGAGCCTTCTCTTGAGTATTGCAATATAATTTCCACTGGTCTGTGTATGTCCTCTGTGTGGCTCCCTACTGCCAGCTTTTGTGATGTATTCTTTTTTCCCTCCATGTGGGTTGAATCCTAAGCTCCTGGAGTCATGTGACTTTTTCCTTTTTTAAAACATCATCTGACAGGCAGGAGGGGAAGATGAGGAGGTGAGCTCACAACAGTGGGTCTGAATTTAGAAACTGCATGAGGTTATTCCTCTGTTTTGTGGTAATCCTGGCTCTTGGGACAGGAAACATAAGTCAGGGTTTTGAATGCCTGAATTGAACAGCCCCGTTTTCTCCTAAACTAGGTCCATGTTTATTTTTAATTGCCAAAAGACAGGAAAACAGACTTACAATCATTTCAGCTGTACCAGAACAGAGCCACAGGGAAGCTCCTGAGCAGCTTTCCCTGTTGCACCCTCTTGTGGCTTCCCAGGGCTCTGTAAGGGCTGAGCTGGTGATGGAAGCAAGAGCTTCCCATCAGCCCTGCAGGTCCTGATGATTTTAAGGATCTGGTGTCCCACAGTTAAAAATCTCCACTGGGAAGGTGGGAACATGGAGTCTCATGCATTTCCAATCTGGCAAGCACAGCCAAGCAACAGCTGAAGGAAATGAAGTTGCTTTCTTGGTATATCCCCCACATCTGCAACTGGTAAAGTGCAGCTCCAGGAGACAGGAGATCAGGCTGTACCTTCATTAGCAGCTGCACAGTCTTATTTTGGATCTTCATCCTGTCCTGGAGTACAGAAAGACCAGGATTGGGGTGTCTGCAGTGTCCAACTCAGCCTGTTGTCTTGCAGATGGAGCTGGAATCGACAGGACCTTCAATCCCCTCCGTGATCCATGATGAGAATGGAAACATCATTGACGGCAGGGATCCCTCAGGGGAGCCCATCCAGTTTGTGTTTGAAGAGATAACCTGGCAGCAGGAAATCCCTTGGGAAGAGGCAGCCCAGAAGCTGGAAGTGGCCATGTATCCATTTAAGAAGGTGAGGAAGGGGCTGGGCTCTTCCTTGGCACGTTTATTTGGGGCAGGTTGTCTTCACTGGGACATCCAGTCACCTCAAGAACAAGCAGAAAGCAGATCCCACAGACATGAGCAGCATTCAGAGCAGTGTGAGAGTCTCCAGCTCAACATGTGCCTCCAGGCACTGCGTGCACGGCTTGATGGGCTTCAGCTTCCAGATGAAGGAGTGCAGCATCTCTGAAAGGGCATTTGGGGTCACAGGGCAGCACAGGCAGGAGCAAAGCCCTCATGTCAGGTGTCCCAGGCTTGTCTTGTAAGCAGAGGCTCATCCTTCCTGCCTCTTATCAGTGGCTGCTGCCGTGATGCCTGAGGAGGCTCGTGCTCCTTACAAATGATTTTCCCCTGGCATTACTTTTGCAGCATTCAGGTACCTTTGGACCAAGCTTTCCTTATCAGCAGAGAACACACAATCTGCCTGTGCCTCTGCATCCCGCAGTGAGACACAAATTTATAGCTCTGGGTGACCCAAACTATTTAACATGCCAGCAGCCTGTGGAGCAGATGGCTACTGCCTGTCACTGCTTCCTTGGCTGAAGGGACACGTTTCAGTGGCTGCCTTCTTGTGCCTCAGCTTACAAATGTCCCTTCTTGCTGCCAAGATGTTAATATCAGTTCCTTTCATTTGAGTGATTGGAACAATCTCTGTGCAGGGTCAGTTTTTAGCCTGTTTCAGTGAGGTTTTGTAAATAAATATCTCAAGGCCAGATTTCCTGGGCAGCTGAGGTGGGGTTGCAGATGCTTTGTGCAGTCAGTAAAATCAGGGCTCTGCAGGTGCCAGTGAGGGATCACAGTCTGGTTCCTTCAGAGCTGCTCCTCTTTGGGCTGGGCAGTTCTGTGTCTGTTCCTCACGCTGTCTCTCTGCCTCCAGATCTCCTACCTGCCCTTCACAGAAGCTTTCGAGAGAGCAAAAGCAGAGAAGAAGCTGGTGCACTCCATCCTGCTGTGGGGGGCCCTGGATGACCAGTCCTGCTGAGGTGAGGGCATTCCCAGCCTGGCTGGGAGGGATGATGTGCCTTGTTTGGGCTCCGAGGAGAGCTGGGGGTCAGGGAGCTGGTCACGAGCCAGCAGTAAATGTTCTGTTACTCTTTTTGGCACTGAAGATGCTGAACAGACAAAGGCTGGAAATGGGGAATTACTGATATGAGCTTAGTTCCCCAGTGGCAGGATCAGATCTGTCTGAGACAAGCCCCAGAAGAGGCAGCACTGGCAGGGTGAAAGGGACACTGCTCTCTGCTTCAGCCCTGGCACCTGCACAGGACAAGCCAGAGCAAGATGTGGGCTTGGCATTGTCCTGATGTACAGCTTTTCCCCCCACCAGTGCCTAAGAACTTCCATGCCACGTTGGGCAGGAGGGATGGATGGGAGGGGGTGGGTATCTTTAGTTCTGTCTGCCCTTAAATACTCCCCAGCACTGGGCTCTGCTGGGCATGAGGAGCGAGTGGCACTCGAGGGGATCCGCAGGGATCTGTGGCAGACTTTGGCTTGGGGTCTGCTCTGGTGAACCTTCCGTCAGCAGCACCTGCAGGAAACAAAAGCAGTGGAAAACTGCCAACAAGGGAGGGAAAAAGACAATGGGAAGGGCTGGGGGGAGCCAGAGTCAGCTGCCACACCAGCCAGAGCGGTGGCATCAGGGTGGCATTGAATGATGGTGGTGACAGTCACCTCAGGAAACACATCAAACCCCTCTGTGCCTCTTCCCGCGCCAGGTTCGGGGCGAACTCTCCGGGAGACCGTCCTGGAAAGTTCGCCCATCCTCGCCCTGCTCAACGAGAGCTTCATCAGCAGCTGGTCCCTGGTGAAGGAGCTGGAGGAGCTGCAGGTGAGGCTCACACCACACTTGCCACTTTTGCTGGTGCTGGGGAGCACAGATGGGGCTTGGCACAGGGGTGCCAGGGGAGGGGGAGCTCATACCTCTGCCAGGGGGGTGGATTTTGGTTTCCAACCCTCCGTGTCTGAGCCCCTGCAGGGGCCAAGCAGACACCAGATGGAGGCAGCCTAAGAAATGGCACAGTGACCCTCTTGGTTCTGTCCTGGTGCCAGTTTTAAAAGCTAAACCAGATGCTCCACTGGGAGACAGCCCTGCCCAAGACCACTGGTGCCATCCACCAGCTGACTTCTCTGCAACCCAGGGAGCAAACAAGTAACCCTCTGAACCCTGAGTCTCCTGATTGCACCATTCACCACTTCTGAGCCCATCTCTGGGCCTGTGCTGTCAGTCACAGAGCTGGAGACTCTGGAAAAGGCTGGGATCAGACTGTTGGTGTGCCTGGAAACCGCCAGGGATGGGGTGATTTTATTCTTTAAGGATAAAACCTACAGCTGAAATGTAAGAGGGAGACTGAGAGGGAATAGTAAAGCAAGTTGTGAGAATGGTACCAGTTACCACCACGCTGCAAAGCAGCTCTTCAGTCCCTCCCTCACGTGCTCAGTGTACTCGTGTGCTGTTCTGCCAGTTCTGGGGTGTGCAAACGTGTTTCTTTGGGGTCTCCCTACAGAGCAACAGAGAGAATGAGTTCTACAGCAAACTGGCTGACCTGCATCTGGAGAAATACAACTTCCCTGTGGAGATGATCATCTGCCTCCCCAACGGCACCGTGGTACAGTCAATACCCTTCAGCTGGGCTGGGCTCTTCCCACTAGAAACTGTTCTCTGCAGGGTCTCCCAGACCCTGGAGTGAGTGTCCACTGCCCCAGCCATTCCCTGGCCCCTCGAGCCATTGCCCTTCATGGTGTGGTGCTCCCAGGGATGCTGTGGCAGACAGGCAGCAGCTCTACCCAGAAATCTGAAACAAATGTGTTTTTATTCAGAGCCAGAGCAGCAGCAGGGCTGGAACAGACCTGAACCAAGTGTCTGCCTGCGATTCCTCGTTGTCCCTGGTTGGAGTCAGCGACCTTTGAGAGGCCACTGTAGCTTGTTTCCTGTGCCCATTGTCCTTTGTGCTCATCCTTTGGAGAAAATCTCCTTATCAGCTTCTTCTAGCACATTTATCTTTCTCTTGATTCCCCAGATTTGTCATGGCAGATCAGCCATTAGCAGGTCCACACGCTTTGGCTCTGCTGTGCTCCCCAGCAGCCTCTCAGAGCCCCCCCCCTTGGATTTGATGAACAACAGTTCCAGACACTTGGCAGCACGGTGCTGTCTGTGTCAGCTGCTGGGCTGGGCTGTCTGCAGGGGAGGATCCTGCCAGGGCTGGTCCAACTGTGCCCCTCGCTGGGCAGATACCAGCTGGTCACACCTGCAGGGTCCCCTCACTGTCTCTTCATGGCTCCCCTGCAATGAGGCCACGGGCTGGGGACAAACCTCAGCCTCTCTGTGGTCAGTGGCCACATGTCCCCCTTTCCCAGCTCCATGGGGAGTGGGAAGTGTTTGAAGCTCAGGTGCTGGTTTTGCAGCTGTGTGGGCTGAGGGCTCACACCAGCATGGTCAGGCTCTGTCTCCCCAGCCTTTACTCCCAGACAAATGATCTGAGCCTCCATGATTTTTCCCAAATCACTTTCATCTTCTTCTTAACCTAAGCCGGGGGTCAGCACTTGGGGGAAGACAGACACTGTTGTCTTTCACACACCTTTCTCTGATTTTAAAATGCAAACCTGGATCCTGGTCCCTGAATTAGCATCTGCAAAGCATTAGAGATTCTGTAAGAGTTGTTACAGCCTTGTCACCTCTGTCCTGGCCAGAGGCCAAGGCAGCGGACGGGGAATTGTTCTGGCCCTTAAAGTTCCCTCTCATCTTTTTTCTATCCCAGATTCACCATATCAATGCCAACTACTTCCTGGACATTACTTCTATGAAGCCTGAAGATGTTGAAAGCAGCATCTTTAGTTTCTCAACCAATTTTGAAGACCCTTCAACTGCAACGTACCTCCAGTTCCTGAAGGAAGGACTGCAAAGAGCAAAACCATACCTGCAGACCTAAAAACAAAGGCACCTGAATGCCCCACAGAGACAGCCAAAGACTTCAGAGATCTATTTTGGTTACAGCAACTCCTCCTCATCTTCATGCCAGACATTGATGTTAAGCTGCAAAGAGTCCCAGGGCAGGGCTTTGCTCTGGATGTTGGTTTGAGGCTGAGTTTCAAGTGATACCAGTTTACACAACCTGCCCTTTTGAGTTCAGGCAAATTTTACAGGAGTTAAAAAATACTTGAATACATTCTCAGTGCATATGCCTTGGTCTGCCACCTACCCTCATTTGTTTTTCCAGCTCCTGTTCAGACTCAGGAGCATCACCCAGATGTAACAGCATCACCCAGAAACCCTGATCTGCAGGACTGGACTGTTGCAGAATTGCCATTATGACCAAACACTCGTGGTGAGAACAGACTCCAGCACCAGTGGGAAGCTCCCTCCTCCCACCTCCGTGCCAGTGCCATGGATGCCAGCTCCTGACAGCAGCGTTTATTGACAGTGACAACCAGTGTGTGATGGGACTGTAGCTGGGAATGTGCAGACAGGAACGTGGGAGGTTTGAACTGGAGGATGAGCTCTGGAGGGGCCTCCCAGGGCCTTGTGTGACCTGGTGGCAGAGGGGTCTCACTCATTCAGGCTCTGTGCCCCTGAGGGAGGTGCTGAGCTTCACACAGGAACATTAGGAATGGAGACCAGGGCACTTGGTGCAGCTCAGAGGTGTCAGGTGAAGGATCAGTTTTGGGGGCTGAGCCCCCCCAGTGCAGTCCATGCACTCCAGGCTCTGGGACACAGCAGTGAGCAGTGTCCCCCGTTCATCCCAGGGCTCCCACCCCGCTGGCTTTGGGACCCTGGTTCTCCCAGTGTCCCCTCAGCAATGCCCTCTCTGTGTTTGCTTTGAGCTTCCAGGTCACCCTGGATGATAAAACATGAAGTTCCCTTTGGGAACTGCCCTGAGAGCATTACCTGGTTGAGAACTGAGCAGTTCTAAAAGCCAGCAGTACTAAAAATATTTTCAGGAGATTTTTCCAAAGATGTTGTTCAGACATAAAGCCTTCCTCCCTTATCTGAAACCACCCTGAGCAGTTGCCCCTACTCTCTGCCAATGCCTGGCTACAGAGCGAGCATAATTTTGTACTTTGGAGAAGGAAAAGTTAAATGAAACGGGTTTTAGGCATATTCCTACAGATATGTGAGGAGACAAAGCATCTTCAGTAGCTGCCTGCAGCCAGTTGGTGATGCTTTTTCTGCTCCCTGAAGCACAATTTTGTTGGACCAAATCAAAAGAGGTATTTTCATTCCTGGGCTCCAGGTCCAGGGAATATCCTGGGAGTGGTGATATCCTGACCCCACCCTGCCCCAGCCCTCCTGTCTGTACCCGAGCCTGGAGACTGAGCTTAGCTGGACCTCTGGGCTGAACCAGTGCCACTTCACTAATTGCTCTAGTGAGATTAATTACCCCGGGAAGTTTCTCAGTATTGGCTTTATAACTATGCATTAGCTCTGCACTTTCCTCACACTCCGAGGGGCTGCACTGGGACAGGCTGGGACTGGCAGTGCCGTGTTGAGACACCGAGCTCCTGCCACACCGACAGTCTCATCCCTTCGGGGGACTTCGATCCCTTCAGGGCTCCGAGGAAGCCTTTGGGATCCTACAAAGTACCTTGTTTTTTACTCTCGTGAACCCCTGGGCTCCTGCAGCCACCTCTGAGCGCTCCCGGGAGAGCTCAGGAGAAGGGGGTCGGTCTGAGCAGCGGCAGAGGGAGCCCAAACAGCCACCCCCAGCCTGGGGGGGTCCAGGGGGTCCTGGATCCTGTTAACCTGCCAAACTGCTCCGTCGCTGCCCACCCGCTGCCGTGGGTGGGCTGTGGACAAGCAGCTGCCGCGCGAGGCTTTACTAATCCGTGCCAAGCCTGTGTCCTGTTTGTAAACCACCGATGTACTCTGTAAATTCTCCGCAGGGTCAGCGATACCTCGGGGAGGGTTGGGTGGCTGGTGCTGTTTCCCCCCCTCCTTCCCTGCGCCTTGTGACGCCCTGGCCTGAAACCCACGGCGGGCCAGGGCCGATGTGGGCCGGGGAGGGCTCGGGGGGAGCAGCCCCTGCGAGGGGCGGTGCCGGTGGGCGCGGGGGGGCCCTCGGGCCCGGCTGTAGCTGCACCGGTAAAACCATCCATCCCACCAGCCTCGGCCTCCTGCAGTCCGTCCTTCCGTCCTTCCGTCCGTCCGTCCCTCGGGGGGGCGCGGGGAGCGGGGAGGGGGTCGGGCTGAGCCCGCACCGGGGGTGTCTCAACGCTGTCGCCCCGAACCGGGACCCCCCTCCCGGCCACCCCCCGATCCCGGTCCCGGTCCCGATCCCGGTCCCGGTCCCGATCCCGGTCCCGGTCCCGATCCCGGTCCCGGTCCCGATCCCGGTCCCGGTCCCGGCGCCTGCGCCGCGGCCCCGGAAGGGCGAGGGGCGGGTTCTGGTTCCGGGGATGGCGGCGGAGGGCCCGGGAGCGGCGCTGGGAGCGGGGCCGGGCCGCGCCCACCCCCAGGTACGGCCGGGAGCGGGCCCGGGAGCGGGGGGCACCGGGGGGAGCGGGGGGAGCCGGGCTGGGGGCACCGGGGGGAGCGGGGGGAGCCGGGCTGGGGCCGCCCCGGCGCTCCCGCAGCCCCTCGGGGTGTGTGTGTTGCAGTGAGACGCGGCGGGGGGAGCGGGGTACGATGAGCCCCGGCAGCCGCAGGAGCCAGCGCTGAGCCCGCCCCGGCCGCGGACATGGACGCGGAGGCCGTAAGTGAAACGGGGCCGGGACACCGGGAATTGGCCCCGGGAACTGACCCCCAGCACCTGCCCTCGGCAGCCACCCCCGGCATCTGCCACTGGCGCCTTTCCCTGGAACCAGCCCCCGGCAGCTGTTCCTGGCCACTGCCCCGACAACTGCCCCGGTGCCTGCCCCGGCACCTTCCCCCAGCCCCTGGCACCGGCCCCAGCGACTGCCCCGGGAACTGCCCCCGGCACCAGCTCGGGCCACCAGCCCCGGCACTCACCCTGGCAAACTGCCCCAGCACTTGCCTCCAGCAACTGCCCCTGGCAGCTGCCCTGGCACCAGCCCCCAGCAACTGCCCCAACACCCTCCCCAGCACCAGCCCCCTGCCAGAGATCACTCACGGCACTCACTGCACCCCCAGCTCAGAGATGCAGTTTAAAACACACACTGGGAGTTTCGGATCTGGCTGCACAGAGCTCGGTGCAGTGTCACTGACTGCACAGTGACTGCCTGGGCTCAGTGTGTGGAACGAGCTCCGTCAGTCAGTGAATTAATGGGTGTGTTGTGGCCCGAGCAATAAAACCTGTTTGGATTCCCGTTTGTCCTGGTGGTATTTGCTGTCCAGAGCCTTGTGCTGCCTCCTGGCACAGGAGCCTGTGACAGCGTAAAATGGGCAGGGGGAAGAGAACTTCACCTTTTGGGTCTAGTTCAGTGTCCAGAGATCACTGAACCATTTGCTGTCTCTGAAAACACCCACCAAGGCTGTTCTCCATGGCCCTTGGTTGGGAGAGGTGTGGAATAGATTTGTCACTTTGCTGTCACCGAAGAAATGTTCAGTCTTATCCCAGAGTCCCAGAAGGTGTCGGGTTGGAAGAGACCACTGGTCCAACCCCCCCTGCTCAGGCAGGGTCTCCTAGAGCAAGTTCCTCAGGATCATGTCCAGGTGAATCTCTCCAGGGAAGGAGACTCCACAACTGCTCTGAGCAACTTACTCGTAGATTATGTGAAGGCAAGAGTGTCCCTTTAAATAAGTCTTTATTTGATCTTATTTTCCTTCTGGGCCCATGATGTGCCACTGTTTTCCTCCTTTTGCCAAGTTTTCATTTGTCACTCAGTGCCTGTTACTGAGTGGTTTTAGTTTGAAAGTGCTACAGCAGTGTTCAAAATGCTCCTGTATCATGTGACTTCATGTATGTGATGCTGAAACACAGTTTTATGGAACGGGGCCCTTAGTTCCAAATTAAAAGTATCACTGAACAAATAGAGATCAGACTCTTGACAGTTTAGGAGAATTTCCAGTTTAATAAATTTCGAGAAGGGCAGCAGACCTGAGGCACTAATTCTGTCACGTGATTGTCTTGCAGACAATCCCCATCTGGCAGAACAAGCCCCATGGCTCAGCACGCAGCGTGGTCAGGATGATCGGGTCAAACCTCCCTCTGAAACCCTGTCCCAGAGCCACCTTCGAGGTAAGTGGCTCGTGGGGTTTGGGGGTGGCTGTGGGAGCTGCAGTTCTGGGGCAGGACAAGGCAGTGCCTCGAGATGCTCTTTGTCACCGCACACCCACAGGGTTGTAGCCACAAAACTTGTTGCAGTACAGTTAATTTCTTTTTATCCTTAATTCTGTTCTTGGAAAGCGATCCTTGGCAACTTGAGGAAATACCTCCTCGGACGGTGCCTGAGGAGCGGGTTTAACCAGCTGGAGGGGATGGAAACTGTGGAGCTGCTGACTCAGTGCTCTGTTGTTCGACCTCCAACAGGCCTCGTGCCCTCTGGGCCTGTTTCCTAAACAGTCAGACAGGGTTTATGGAGGCACTGACGTCACTGCTGGAGCTCAAGGACAGCGCTGGGACTTGTAGTGGCAAAGTGTTGCACGTGGCCTTGGCAGTGTCTGGGCTGGATCAGGTGTCCCTTCCTGCCTCAGACACACACCAGCACACCAGGAACACGTTCAGGAGCCAAGGCAGGGAAGCACAGCAGTTCCCAAACCCGATGGTGTTGCTGTTGTACATCTGACAGAGGCAGCTGCTGCTCTGTTGCTGAGGGGATGGGCTCTGCCAGCCAGTGCAGCACATTTTGGGTGGCTTCAGGAGACAGAAACACCCGTCTCCTTAACAGCATTTTCTTCTTTTCAGGTTCTACCAAGTGTTTCAGATCTCTATTTAAATGATGTGCCCCCAGTCCCCACCTTGGCTGACATTGTGTGGATCGCAGCAGACGATGAGGAAACCTATGCCAGAGTCAGGTTGGTTCCTCTCCCTGTCTGCAGGTCCCTGTTTTTATCCCCTGGTTTGTTTTGCACAGCTCAGGCCGGGCATTGATCAAATGGTCACAACTTCCAGTCCTCACAGGCTCTGATGTGGTGCCTGTTGAAAGACATTTTTCCCAAGAGAAGGGGGTAAAAAAAAATTACAAAGGACCCCATGAAGAATTCCTGTAGGAAGTGCCACGAGTCTGTGCCGTGCCATGTTATACTCACTGGCTGATCTGTGCAGAGTAACCCCCTGATCCGGGGTGGTTTCTGGTTAGGAAGTTGGAGAGTTGAGTTCTCACAGGGCTGAAATGTTCTGCCCTCGGGAGTTTGGTTCTGGCCAGTGGAACTTCTGTCCTCGAGCAGGGCAGTGCTGACAGGTGTCTTGTGAAAGAGAAAACAGGCTTTGGAGTCAGAGGCAAACGTTCACTGGTGAGTGACATTTCCCATGTGCCCCCAGCGTGGGGACACAGTCACCAGGAGAAAGGTGACTTCAGACCGTGTGAGCACACACAGATTTTTGCCCCTGAGTCCTCTCACCCCATCTTGTGCCACCGGGTCATGATTTCTGTGACAGACTTTCACAGAATTCCAGACTGGTTTGGGTTGGAAAGGACCTTAAAGCCCCTCTCATTCCAGCCCCCAGGGGCAGGGACACCTTCCACTAGACCAGGTTTGCTCCAAGGCCTGTCCAAGCTGGCCTCGAACACTTTCAGGGATGGGGCAGCCACAGCTTCTTCTGTTCCTTGTTAATTCACTGTGTTAAAAGCTCCTGCTGCCCTCAGTGGAAGCCCAGCACTGTTGTCACAGAGGGGTTTGGGCCCTGTAAATGCCCAGCAGGTTTTTGCCCCCCAGGAGCGACACTCGCCCGCTGAAGCACAAGTGGAAGCCGAGTCCCTTCACCGTGATCCAGCGGAACGCCTCAGTCCCCAACCTGAGGAAGCAGGAGGAGAAGCTGCTCGCCCTGAAGAAGCCTGGCTTGCCAGCCCTGAGCCGAACCACGGAGCTCCAGGATGAGCTGAGTCACCTCCGGAGCCAGATCGCCAAGATAGTCGCTGCAGAGTCAGGTAGGGCCATGATGAGCTTTATTCCTCTTGAAGGCTGAGCTGCTGAGCTCTGTTATTTCCTCAGTGCACTCCAGGCTCATCCCAGCCAAGCCATGTCTGCTCTGGGGGCAGCTCAGGGCTGGGTCTGTGTTTAGAGCTTTGTGCCTTTCATTGGAGGAATTCCAGCCCGTTTTTAAGAAATCCCAATTCCTGCTTCGTGGCTGCATTTGGAGGCACCTCGTTCCATGAGAACGTTGGTGTGTTCTTGCCATTCCTGCTCCCAGCTGGCCATCAGCACAAGGGTTCTGCCTTGATTTGGGTAGGAGGGAGGTGTTGGTGTTTGTCTCTGTGCAAATGACAGAATTGTTTGCCATCTCTGTAGCAAAACAAAGCAAAAAAAGGTACTGGGGGAAAATCTCTGCTGGAGTGATTTCTTTCCTTTTTTTTTTTTATTAAAATTTTATGCAGTTAAAAGCCATGATTTAGCCTCAAAGCTGAACTGTGAGGAAAGACTTTATACTTCTCTTCTTTTTGTGGCTTTTCCCATTTAGTCAGCCCTAAAAATGTGACACTGTTTGGTAGGATACAAATCCAGGTGGTTCTACAAGTCTTGCTGCAGCAGTGGCTGCTTCAGAGTGTGTGAGTGTGAGTGTCTGTGAGTGGAGAATTCAAAAGGCAGAGTTTATCTCCCAACTCAAAAAATATGGGAAGTTTTGCAGACTAAAGGAATTCAGTCCTTTCTGAAGACAGTTTTTCTTCAAAGCTGCGTTTCTTTTATGCAGAACATTTTGCCAGGTGACAGCTGTGTTAGGGCTGCTTTCCAGGGGAAAAGAAGGACCTGTAATTCTTCCCATTACTTTAAAAATTGTGCCACATTTTAAACACAATAACCTCAACCATGCAGGGAACGAGCACAAAACGAGGCAGCACAGATGTCCCCTCCAGAGAGGCTGTGTGTGCCCTCATCCTTCTTTGAGGAGCAGAGAAATTGAAATTGAAAAAAAGAAAGTCTGTGATTTTTTTTTTCCTTCTCGGTGTTGTCCCAGCTCTGCAGTTGGTTAGAAAAGTCTGTTTAAATTCAAGGAGGGTAATAATGAGGGAGAATTAGAGATGCAGATGGGAGGAAAACGATTTAATCATTTAATACCTTTGTCTTCCTCCTGCCCACTCCTGACGTGTGAGAAGAGCTCGGATCGACTCTCAGTCAATAGCAGGAGCAGTGATTTAGAGCCTTTGCTGCAGCTCCTCATCTGATGCAGGAGATAAGCACTTAGGAGGCTTATTTTGGAAAGATTGATGTCAAAAAAAGAAATACTGTGCACTCTGCTTTATTAGCTACTGATAGAGACATCCCTTAATTGGGAACTGATGACTGTCTCGAGGCCAAGGGCATCAGTGCTTGGAGGTACAGTTTGTTTCCAGTGCCTGAAGGTTCTTCCAAGGAGATGTGCCCTTGACATGTTCCTGGCCTTGGATTGGTTTCCCTTGGTGTTTTACATGGGAAATGCCAAATCCTATTTCACTGAACACTGGGAATTCCTGTAGCTGTTGTTATCCTCACTGTGTTTTACATAAATCCCGTCTTCCCAAATAAATCTCATCCTCCCCGTGGGAATAGGTGGGTGCTGTGCACTGTGCTGACGGGAAGCAGAACAGGTCAGAGCAGCTGCAGGTCACAGGGTGAGTGGTTGTGACCACCTTGTGTGAAATCCTGGAGCTCCTGGGCAGGCTGTGCATTCCCACCAGGCATCGTGGATGTGGGGAAGGAGCCTGGCAGGAAAAGAAAGGCCAGGAGTTCTCAAGGCAGTGGAGGAAAAGAGGAAAAAAATTAACAGTTAAGACCTGACTCCTGACACAAGCTCCCTGGGTGACCCTGAGCAGCAGCTAAAATCTCTGATCCTCCTTTTTACACCTGTAAAAAAACCCCAGGAAAAGTAAACATCACCTGGCTTGTGCTGGGTTTGGACTGGAGGGGTGATGGGCACGGCAGGAACAGAGATACATCAGGGGCTTGGTGGGATAAAAGGTGCTGGAGAAGGAAGCAGAGTGGCCGTGGAGGGCAGCAGAGAACTCTGAGGGGTTTGTTTTCTTGCAGAGGCCGACGGTGCCTCTTGATTTATATTTGGGGTAAAACTGTCCCGCGTGGTTTGGTGTGAGTTTGTTTATCCACCTCTGTTGTTTTCTTTTCCAGCTTCTGCTCAGTTAACACCAGATTTATTATCTCCAGGGAGTTCAAATGCATCTTCTCCTTTACATTGTTTTGGACCCTCTTTCCAATCCACCACTTCCTTTGTCATTAGCGATATCACGGAGGAGGAGGCAGAGCTGGAAAGCCCCGAGCTCCCGTCGGTCTCCCTGCTCTGCTCTGCAGCCTCTGAGAGCTGCAAGCCAGACCCAAAGGATCCTGATGAGGAAGACTCCGTGTCCCTTTCCAAGGCCAGCAGTTTTGCAGACATGATGGGAATTCTTAAAGACATTCACAGGATGAAGCAGAGCAAAGACTTGTAAGTGCTTCCTGAACTCCCTTTGATTTTTATCTCCTTTTGGTTTTGGTGTTAAATCATTGTTTTCTGGACGCTGGACGTTGCACTTGCTGCTGGTGCTGCTTCTTTATTTGTGATCTGAAGGGAAAAATACCTGTTTAGAGCAGAACTTGATAACACTTTCCTGGTTTTTTGTTTTAACTCTGGCTTACCCACCCCGAGAGGAAACAGTGGAGGGGGATTTAAACTGATTAGCCCAATGTTTGGCTGTTCCAGCTTTTTCACCTGGCAAAAAGCTGTGTTTGCCCAGATGCCAACCAGGACTGTGTGTGTTGGCAGCTTTCAGAGTGAGGAAGGGTCACACCACCAGTGTTCCAGGTGCTGGTGCCAGCCCCACCTGACATTCCCAGGCAGTTGGGAAGCTCAGCAGCCTTTCCAGCGTGGCACAGACAGGAATTAACACGTGGAGCTTCTCAGCTTCTCTGACTGTGCATCTGGCCCAGCCCTGAGCGTGGGCAGGGTGAGTTTGCACTTGTCTCATGACGAGTTGACACATTGATCATGAGAACTCCTGAAGCTGCTCCACGGCTGGGACAAGATTCTGCCCAGCTGAGCAAGTTCCTTCTTCGGTGCTGGCTGAAATCACAGTGAAGAAGTTCAGTCTGCACATTTTTCAGCCCAGCCATCATGTTGTGTGAGATTCCTGGCCAAAAATAACACCTGTTGTGTGATGGCTCTTCACAATTTCTCTGCCTGATTCGGCTTAAAAGGAATTAAATCCTCAGCACTGAGAAAATTGTGTAGTCACATGAGAGGAACATGTTCAGCTTCCACCCAGAGCATCGTGGGGGGGTTACACCTCCATCACTCACCCCTTTCCTCTTGTTTTCCTGAGTGTTGAATATGACTCAAAGCTTAAACATTTGATTGATTTATATAAATGCCTGTCATGTGCCTTGGGGGTGAGGATTCATGGGCCACAGGTGAACTGCTCCTCTTCTTTCTTCCTGTCTGTTGCACAATTATTGATTTATGAGGCAAATGGAGAGAGGATTAAGAGAAATCTTGTATTCTGTGTGTCTCAGTCCGTTGCACAGCAGAATTATTGAATTTTTAGGCAAATGGAGGGAAAATTGAGAAAAATCCCGGGGTTTGTGGGGCTCAACAGGGATTTGGGTTTGGCTTTTGGGAACTGTAACTGCCCCATTCTCATGGTCACTCTGGTGTTGCAGGTACTTCATGCTGTGCCAGGGAGTGTTTTACCTGTACCAAAACCTGCACATTCACCTATAACAATGCAATTATCACTCTTCTAATCAGTGCAGGCTGCTGTGTCAGCCTCAGGCTCTCAGGGCAGGGAAACTGCTGCTGTCTGTGCCAGGGGAATCGGGGGAAATGTGCATTCTCCAGGGGGGGAAAAAACTTGTACAAATCCAGATAATGGCAGGGAAATCCAAGGCACTTCTCATCCGTGCCTGGATGTGCCAACAAGGCTCCTGCAGAGTCCAGGATTCCGGCACTGGCCGAGTCACGAGGGGCTGGGGGGGAGGATGTGACAAACAGTGTGTGGGTGACAGGGAATGCTGCGACACAACGGGCCACAATTTGAATTTCCACCATGGAATGTGTGAGAGAAGTCCTGAGGGATGAAGGTGTTTGATCCTGCTGTTCCCTGGGAGGTTTGTGCTCGAGGAAAGGCTTTAGTTGTGTTTAAAGTCACGGGAGATGGGGTGAGAGCAAAGATTTGGTGCTGAGAGGAGGGGAGAGCTGCCAGATCCCTCCTCGACAAGGTGGGCAGAAGGATGGGGTCAGCAGGACCCTTCTCCCTTGATCCCTGACTGATTATCCAGGGAATGCTGTGACAGAAAGGCTGCTTCCTGCTGGAGCTGAACCGTTTTCCCCTCATCCCTTTCTCTGTCTCAGCCTCTGACTCTCCTGAATCCAGCAGTGACATTTTGGGGTTATTACAGCTTAATTAAAGCTGTCTGAAGACTGGCATGGAGTTGGAAAAATTCAGTTAATCACTGGTGTTCATGACTTGATGAGATTTAATTCCTCACACACCCCTCAGTGCAGTTGTGGAGCAGCTCCCCCAGCTCTGCTGGGCAGCTCTGGGAACCCTGAGCAGGGTCAGGGGCTCTTTTAAGTGGATGAAAGTACCAGAAGATGCTTAAAGAGATAATTACATTGATGCCTCTCTGCTGCTCCTGTGTAGGACTTGGTGCTTAAACTCAGCCTTGGTGTTTAAACACAGCCTTGGAAGCTTCAGGAATAAGGGAGAAACTTGCAGAAATGTGCCTGTTTCAGCAAATCTGAATTACAGCCTGTTCCAGTGTCTGTGGTGGAAATGCTCCAGGGGGATTTTTATTTTTTTTTTTTTTTTTTCTTTTAGGAATGTTTGAAACACCCATAATGTTTTCTGAGCAAGAGAGGGCTTCAGCTATGAAAAAAAAAAATAAAAGCTCTGAAATTGTCATTACAGGTTGTGAACAAAACTGCAGTGAGCAATTCATGACACCTGAGGGAAAAGAGCTGGGGCTTGGCTTCCTGTAAAAATAATCTGCTTCTAAAAGGAGCTGCTTGTGTGAACTTGTTGAAGGAGGAAAACTGCTCTTAGAATGCTGCAGAAAAACTCATGTAGTGGAAGGAAATGTGTACCAGCCCTGCTTTAAAATGTCTGTAATCACCCATGTTTAAATAGGAAATAATACACCCGTTGTGTGGCAGAATTAATGAAAAAATGCATATAGTCCCAGGAGTTCACCTCAGACACCTCACTGCTTGCTGATTTGTGTTGAGGGGCTGTAGGCTGTAAATAATTGATCGAGTTTTGGGTTACTTACTTGTTATTAGCACAGCTGAATAAAAATTATCCAGAGCTTTGATGGTGAGATTTTTCAGGATCCCCCTTGAGCCACGACACGGGCTCCAGGTTTTCTGAGCCGACATGAAAGGGCTGAATTTCAGCTGCTTTTTGTTGTTCTGTGATGTTGTTCTTGCACCTCCTTCACTTGTGACAACAGCTGATGGCAAAGGCTGCAGAAAAAACACTTGGAAGACTCTACCCAGAGCTGTTAATCATTACTTTTGGCACTTGCCTGTGCTAATGCACAGTGATTTTTGTCTCCCCTGTAGAAACCGACCTTCCATGAAGGAGGAGGACCCGGCTGTTCTTATTGCAGAAGTTCTGAGAAGGAAATTTGCCCTGAAGGATGAAGATCTGGCCCTGAAGGAGAAGTGATGTCGCTGTCATTCAACTCTGTAAGCAAAAGTGTTATGCTCCCAAAATTTTTCTCCACAGTAGCTGCCTTCCTAAGGATTGAGCCTTTTGCCTCTTTTATTAATTAGACCTGGTTTCTGCACTGGACACTTAGGAAAGACCCTACGGATTTGATGTGTTTTCCATGTATTGTTATATTTAAGAAAAAAAAAAACAAACCAATCTTTTTAAGAAGATGGAAATTCTTTTCCACCTGTGTTTTGATGTTGATTATTGATAAGGATCTTCTGGAGTGCTGCTGGATGACGTTCTTTCTTACCTACACTTTTCCTTAGGTTCCAAATTAAGCATTAACCTCCAACGGCCTCGTTACAATAGAACCAGTTTCCATTTCCAGTACAAACAGGACAAAGCCCTCCAGTTCTTTGTTCTGAGTGTGGTACAGAGCTGCTGAGAATAAGCTCATTAATGCTTCCAGGTCTCCAGGCTGTTGGATCAGAGTGGTAAAAGACGTTTTCCCAGTGACAGGACGGAACGAACCCCTCGGTGGGGCGTGAGTGGATTTAGTGTGCCCTGGGTGTTTAACTCACAGATTAGCCCACAGTTGCATGACAGAATGGCCTTAATTTCTTGCCAGTAACTTAATGTTTCATTACTAGTCCTTGTATTCCAAACCTGTATTTTATTTAGCGTTCAAAAGGTCTATTTATTGATGCACCAATGCAAAGGGCCGGGCACCCCCCGAGAGCAGGGGAGGGGTTTGGCCTTGGCTGTGGCTGCAGCTCTCACCCACTGAAGAGTTTTTCCTTCAGCCCCACCTTCGCTGCAATGTTCCTCATGGCTGTATTTAAAGTATGATTTTTTTCCTTTGTATAAAATGGAGCCTTAATAAGATGATGGTTGTCCTCGAGATGATTTAATGCGCTCGTGTTTGGGGGGTGGCAAGGATTTTTTTCTTAATCCACCTTAATTTTCTTAACCAAGGGCCATTGGCCCTTAAAAAATTAAATCATCATCCCCACCTTAAAAAATGAGAGGAGGCTTTTATGGCAGAGAACAGGAAGAGCACTGAAGGCTTAATCAGTTCTACAGGGAGTGATACAGCTCCTCCCCTCCTGGATGCACCCCGAGAGCCCCTGAACACTGGGATCCTTCTCCCTGTCCCCATAAGGCTCCTCTGCCCAAGGATTTGGTGGGGATACACCTGCCTGTGGAGAAGATGGAGCTGTCACCAGGAGTCCCATTTCCTGGGAATGTGCTCCATGTGCAGGCTGGACAGGAACATGGGGCAGTACTATGGGCTCTGATCCTGAGAGAAGCAGTCAAACCCCTTATAAATAAACTCCTTCAACATTTTATTTGTATTAAAGCAAAATAAAAAACAGAGGGGTGCTGCCTGTGGCTGCTGGTTATACCCTGCACACAGACACAGCAGGTTCACTTCCCAAATTCTGACAACTTTCTTACAACTCCCCCCCCCCTCTTGCTGCACAAGAGGCCACACAGGACACTGAGGTCACTCACCAGTGTTTAATCACCCTGTTCCCTTCAGAATCCTGTGTGAACAGTAACTCAGGGCACAGCTCCAGCTGCTGCCCCCGGGGCTGGCTGGAGGCAGCACAGCTGGAACTGTCCCCGTGGGAAATGCCCCTGTCCCTGCAGTGAGCAATGACCCTGTTCCCCTCCGAGTCCTGGCAGAAGAGCTCCCTGCAGGGGCTGTCCCAGCCCACCCCGGCCCCTGCTGTGTTCTGGCCACGCTCTCTCAGGGGCTGAGCTCTCGCTGGGCTCTGTGGGGATGAACAAACCCCCCCAGGAGCCCAGGGCCTGGCTCCTGGCACAGGATTTATATTCTCAGTCTCAGCAAAATCAGTTAAAGAACTAACACTACTCCACTGCTGTGGTTTCTTACTCTGCTTTGCACCAAGCCCTGGTTGGAAATCGAGTCCAGCCTTCACCTCCTGGCCCTCCTGTTTGGTTACCCCCCAGTCTGATGTGACACTGCTGCTTCCCGAAACCGTTTCTCCAGCAAATAACTGGGATTTGTTCCTGTGAGTGATGATCCGGGGGCCCTCCGAGTCCTGGGTGAAGCTGAAGCACCAGGAGTCCCCTCCTGGCCCACAGGAGGCTTTGCCCTGGCTCTGTGACTCCACTTGTAGCTCCGAGGAGTCTGGCAAAGGTGCTTTCCCTGCCCGGCCCTGGGATGTGACCTGCACCCCCTCCTCGGATCCAAAGGGTTGATCCTGGGCTGTTTTTATCTGTGGCAAGGCCAAGATCTTCACAGGGCAGGCAGCCAGAGGGACACCTGTGTCTTCACTGTCCTTATTTGGGGTGAAAGGAGACGGCCTGGAGTTCTCTTTGTCTTTTTCATCTGAAAGCAACACAAAATGGGTTAAAGCCAGAGCTGGCAGACACATTTCTCAGGATTAGTCACTACCCACATTCCTCGACTCAGACCTGCCACTCTCTCCCGTGGCTTTGCTCTCCTTTGTGTATCCCTAAGGATCATCCCAGTGCTGCCACCACCTCACAACAATCTATTTGTGCTGCAGAGGCTGAGCTGGAACAGCACCCAAAGCTCTGGGGGGGGTTCACAACAGTCAGAGTCCCTCGAGTGAGGTCAAGAGCTGCATCTTCAGCTGCTCCAGCCTTTGGCTCCTCCCTCAGCTTTCCAGGCAGGTCACCTCTAACATTCCCTTTAAAAGCAGCAGCTCAAGAGTCACTTAAAAAAAAAAAAAAACACAAAACTGCCTAGTGAAACTCTATCTGTGCCTGTGTGGTCCCGTGGAGGCAGAGACCCACATTTGCTTCTGAAACCATTGAACATAAAACCCAGTACAAGTTCTCAGTATAAACCAGCTCCCCCTCAGTTCAGACTAATTTAAAAGAATAAAATCTTCCAGCATCCCAAATCCTCCAGGACTCTGGATGAACATTCAGACACGCCCAGGGAGTAAGTGAATGCAATCAATGGGGGCAATCAAATGGGAAGAAAGAGGAAAGCACAAACCATGTTCAGAAGGAGTAGGAATGACGACTCCAAAGCAAAAACCATCAATACCCCTGTCACAACACAGAAATTCTGTCAACCTGTGCAATTTCTGTAATGCCTCCTCTCATCTGCTTATTTCTAAACCAGTTTAATGCTGATGAACCAACTCTTACATAACTCACAACACACAAACAGCTCCAGAGCCCTGCTCTGCTGCTTTCTGCATCTGTTTAATTTCTCTCCATAGCTGTTAACTTGAGACCCCTGGAAAATCCCAGTTTTTTCAGAGCACAAAAAAAACCCAGCCTCAAAAGCACAGAGGTTGTGAGCTGGCTTAATTAGCTTAAATAGTCCAGTTCCCCTGTGATGGGGGAACTGGCTCCATTAGGATTAATCACAGCATTCCTTAGAAAAGGCTTTGTCCAGCCCTTCATTAACAGCTATTAACAGCTGCACCTGCATTTGGAATAACCCTCACAATAAAAGCCTCTCTGGGAGTTCAAACTTTTACTCTCTGCACTAGAAAATGCACTTTCCTGCCCAGCAAAGCTGCCAAGAGATACAGTGAGATGGGTTTGCTGTAACACCTGGAACTGCTTCCCCTCCTTACCTGTGTGGGAGCTGAAGAAGGTGGGGATGGTGGTTTGCTTGGTGCGAGTTTGGGGGGCTCTGCTCTGTGTGAGCACCACCGAGGTGGGTTTCCTCTCCAGAATTCGGGTGGGTGCTTTTAGCTTGGCTGTGAGAGGCTGGGGGGGGGGGAAAGAAACAAGGGAGAATGAATGTATGAATATATTAAAAAAACAATTCCTCCTTCTTCCAGAGCTCCCATCTCCACTAAACAGCAACACAGATTCATTTGGGTTGGAAATCACAGAATTGTTGGGGTTGGAAGGGATCTCTGGAGACATCCAGCCCAAGGCAGGGTCACCTGGAGCAGGTGACACAGGAACCAGGTGGGTCTGGAATGTCTGCAGAGAGGGAGACTCCACGCCCTCCCTGGGCAGCTGTTCCAGGTTCTGCCACCTCCACGGAAAGAAGTTCTGCCTCATGTTGAGGTGGAACTTGTTGTGTTTTAGTTTATGGCCATTGCTCCTTGTCCTGTCGCTGGGCACCATGGAGGAGAGTCTGGCATCATCCTCTGACAGCCCTGGGAGATATTTGTATGGATTAATGGGTATTTGTATGGACTGATGAGATATTTGCACGGACTGATGGATCCCTCCCAGCCTTCCCTTCTCCAGACTGACCAGGCCCAGCTCCCGCAGTCTCATCCCAGAGATGCCCCGGACCCCAAAACGAATCTCAGATGACGGAGTACCACTATCAAACGAAGTGAAACACTTCAACTCTCCAACTCTCCGGGCTCACCCGACCCCTCGCAGCTCCCGAGACACCCCCGGTGCCCCCACCCGGGTCTTACCGGCGCCGGTCTGCGCTTCAGCTCGGCCGTGTCCAGCCACACGCCGCACGCCTCGGCCGGGGCGGCGGGGCCCCCACGCCGGCGCCTCATCCCGGCACCGTTCCCGGTGGTTCCCAGTTCCCGGGGGTTCCCAATTCCCGGGGGTTCCCAGTTCCCGGCGGTTCCCAATTCCCGCCGGTTCCCGCTCGTTTCCCGTTCCCGGTTCCCGCCCAACGGGCCCCGCGCGCGCCGCTGGCAGCTGACGGACCAATGGGAGCGGAGGGGCGGGGCCCCGGTTGCAGCTGGCCCCGCCCACCCGGGCCGTGCCCTATATAAGGCGGCGGCACTGCGGGGGACCGTCAGAGCAGCGGAGAGGGGGCTGAGGGGGGGGCGGTTCCCTCATGGGCTGGACCCGGGACAGGGATCGATCCGTGGGTGTCAGAGCGGGGTTGGCCGGTGCTCCTCGGCAGGAAGGGTCTCTGGAAACAGCGGTGCCGGAGCGGAGCAGCACAACACACAACGCAGGGGGGGCGTTCCCCCGCCCCGCTGCCCCTCCTGCCCCAGCCCCTCACACCGTGTCTTTTCTCCCCCTGCGTTTGCCCCCTGTGTGCTGTTCAGGGGTGTTCCCCTGTTCCCGAGGCCTGATCCAGCCCCATCACATCAACCCTCTCCTCCCACTGCCCTTCCCGGGACAGGCTGTGCCCGTCTCGCTCCCACCACTGAGGGACAGGGCCCTGCCACTGCACGGACAGCTCTGAACAGCTCCCCGGGCTGTATATGAGAGGCCTGAAATGATACTGAGTTAAGTTTGCCACCCTCGTTTGTGGTTTAAACAGCCTCAGCTCCTTACCTCGTGCTGTGAGACCTGGCAGCTTCCAGGAGCCTTCCCCAGCCCACCACTGTCGGGGCACAGGGCCGCAGCACCGAAACACTTTGTTCCAACTCTTTATTCAGAGCTGAATTAAATATGTACCATTCTTAAGAGCAAGCTAGAACTATTTCTGAATTTAAAAAAAAAAAAAAAAGGCATAAAAAAAAGCAGCTTTTACTTTCCCTTCCTATAGAAAGCACTTGCTGAATAACAGTTCATGAAGCGTCTCATTCCTCTTCTCAAGGTTTGGGGCGGGATTCATCCAGCACGGGCTGAGCTCACCTGCTTCTCCTTCAGGGCTTTTACTCTTCCTTGAAGCCCAGCTTGTTCTTCACCTTCCGGGCCATGTAGGCGGCTGTGAGGACAGAGCAGGTCACAGTGAAGAGGCAAAGGGCAGAGAAGTTGTGTGCCAGGTCCCCCTGGAGAGCGGAATAAATGTGCCGCCTGGACTCGTAGTCCAGCACCACGGCCTCGATCTGCGCCAGCGTGCAGAGCACCAGGCACACGTGGAAGATCTGATGGCTCTGCCCGAAGAAGTGGCACTTGCCAGGGAACCACTTCTCGGGGTAAGGCTGCGAGAAGAAAAAGGCACCGATGAGGAAAAACAGCACCTGGCACTTGTGGTAGAGCAGAGCCGGGTCCGGGCGCGCCGAGGGCGGCGCGGTGCAGATGCGATGGACCACGGGGCTGATGTCCAGCAGGTAGGCCAGGCCCGAGGGCAGCTCCTGGCACAGCCGGCCCAGGAGCCGGGCGGACTGGTGGTACCGGTACTTGGCATAGCAGGAGCCAGCACAGGACAGCCAGGCCAGGAGCACGGCCGCCGGCATGTAAAACCCCCGGACCCTCTCGTGCCAGCTCGGCTCGATGGCGTAGTAATAGTGCCCCAGGGCGCTGCCATACTGGTAAACAGCAACCCCCACGTAGTCCATGAAGAAGAAGCTGTAGTGCCAGAACTCGGATTTGGCCTGCAGGAGGTGGGCGAGGCTGCTGAACGTCAGGTAGGTGATGGAGGCCGCGAGGATGATGAGGAGGGGCTGGGCGTGCAGGTCCTGCCCGAAGTCCACCCGCCGCGAGAGCTGCTGGAAGCGCAGCAGCAGGATCAGCGCTGCCACCAGGTGGGTCCAGACGTTGATGGCCTCGTTGTGCTGCTGGAAGAGGGTGGAGAAGTAGTAGCGCCAGGTCTGCTGGACGGGCCGGTAGCCGGTGTGGATGTAGGGCTTCCAGAAGACCTTGGGCACCTCGGAGCTGCTGACGGTGGAGGGAGAGAGGGGCCCCAGCAGCTGAGGGACCTGCCTCACGTTAACGAAGAGCCGGCTGAGCTTCTCACTGACAAACGTTGCCATGGTGTGGCCCCACTCCGGGTCCCCGCTGTGCGAAATAACCTTTGGGGTGGAAGGAAAGCTTTGCTGCGGGGTTTAAAAGTGGCTTCGACACAAAGTCAGCGAGCGGGGGCAGCTCAGATGCTTTGCCAGATTTTTTTGGTTGGTTTGTGTTGTTTTTCCAAAGATAAGTTTGGCCGGAGAACAGCCTGAAAATAAGAATCACCAACAGGGGTTAGGAAGGAAGGAGGCTGAAGGGAGATTTAGGAAGCCCTGACGTGCCTCTGCTGCACAGGTAGCAGACTGCCTGGAGAAGCACAGAGGACACGAGTATGGGGTTAATTGATGCATCAGTTCCTGGCTCACCTTTTCCCTGCAGTTTGGGAAGTGCTAAACAAACCAAACATCCTAAACAAACCTCCCACTCCAGATTTTCCCCCTTGTAAACTGTTTACAGTCCCTGTCCTTACAAGTGACACAAGCCACCTTCCCACCAGCATCGAGGTGGGATCAACCTGCTCTGCCTCCCAAGGGGGGGCACCTGAGAACAGAAATAACCAACGGCACTAACAGGGGGTAAAACTCCTGCATTTGGAGTTTCACCTCCTTTTTTGAGCTCCTGATTTTCCAAGCAGCTTTCCACAAAAACAACACAGCTCGAGTGAGTTCATCCTGTTGCATCACTGAGGTCCAGCAGCACAATCTTTGCGGAGCAAACGTTTCCATATTTACATTTTGGAAGCTGCTGCCCTCACCCGGATAAAAGCAGCCCTTTCATAAAAGCTTATTGAACAGAACATGCCCAAAAGGAGATTCTCCCCCCATTTTACCTGCTCGTGCTCAGACAAGTCCTGAGGAAAACAGCCCGGATCCCATCCAGCTCCAGAGCTGATTTATGCCTCAACCCCTGGCAAGTGCCGTTGTTTCAGGGACAGCTCAGACAGGAAAAGCTTTTCAAAGTTTGGGAACAGGAGGAGGTGGGGATGACACTGTTTGTTTTAAAAATACCCATAATTTCTTCATCAGAATGGGTCTGTAACCCATGCCTGTCTGAATCCAAGGGGCACAGATGCAGACAAAACCAGGCTGTTCACTGCTCAGCTTCCCTCCTGAGTGCTCTTTTCCCACTTTGCCTGGTTAAAGAGGCCCCACATCCCAGACAGCCCCCCTGGCTGGGGCAGCAGCTCACAGAGGGCAGTCCTGACCCCTGCTTGGCCTCCTAAACCCTCCTGCAATGCTGCAACACGCTCTGGCTGCCAGTGAAAAATTAACTTCACAAACCTCTTCTGGACTCGCAGCTCCCGTGCTGAACTGAAACAGCCCCGGGTCCCACCACAGAGATGAGGGCAAAAGCAGAACTTCCCAAATTCAGCTGTTTCAACCAAAATACGATGGGCAGTTTGGAAGAAAACACTGCCCAGAGAACTTGCCTCTATGCCAGGGCTGCTGCTGCTCACAGGGATATTCAGGTAGAGGGGAAGGGGCTCAGCTCCAGATCGTGTCCGACCCCGTTTCGGCTTCCAGGAGAGAAATTCCTGTGGGAAAGGCACCCCTGGTTTGCTCAGGGAGATGCTGTGGCAAAAGCAGTGGAGAGCAGCCAAGCACAAGGCAGGAAAGGGAGTGGTGTTCACCCCAGTTCCTCCAAAACTTGTCAGAGCAGGGCTTCTTTTGCCAAGCTCTTCCCAGCTATCAACCCTTGAGCAACGCTCCGTTAGGAACGGAGCACATCTTGGAAATCATTCACCTGCCTGGTACTCCAAATAACAGCCTCCACATCCCCACGAGCTGTCAATAGCACTGCCTCAAACGCCTGCTGCTTCCTCCGAAGCATTTCCTTTCCGCAGCAGCATCCACCCATCCCGCCGAATTTTTTGGTGATGATAGAGCCTCGGCCCCGGGCTGTTTACATCCCTGTTTGCTCCCGCCACACAGCGGGATCCACCCTCCTAAGGCACAAATATCTTTCTTTTTTTTAAGTTGGGATGGGTTTTTTTCCACCTCGGCTCACCGAGCCCTTGATAAACCGGAGTCCCCCCCCCCCTTCCAGCTGCCAAAACCTGGGAGCCAAGGGATGGTTCTCCATCCCCTGGGATTTCCCCCTCCCCGGCGCGGGGGATGCTCCAGGGCTCGGGGGGAGTTGGACACGAGGATTGGCAGCGCTCTGGGACCCTTCCCCTCCCGGTGCTCCCCCCGGGACCCCCATCCCCGCCCAGGCACCTGCAGAACGGACCCCTCCGGGCCGGGCTCAGCCTCCGCCGCCTCCGTTTCCCTCCCCCGGGCCCGCCCCGCTCCGGCCCCGCCGCTTCCTTCCCTTCCTTGTCCCCGGTGCCCGCTCGCCCCGGCGGCCGCGGCTCCTCCCGCTCGGATCGGAGGGGAAAAAGGAGGGGGGGCTGTCAACCGGGGGTCCCGTCCCCCCCGCAGCCCCTACGAGCTGCTGCGAACCTGCTCCCCCCTCCCCGTGCCCTTCGCGGCCCCCAACGCGGCTCCCCATCGCCCCTCCCTCCGCAGGGTGGAAAGAAGCTGCGGAGCCTTTTTGTCCTTTATTTTGAAAGAACCTGTTTCCATCTCACCCTGATTCCTGTTTCCCTGCCCGACCATCACCCGCATAGTTCCCCTCCCTTATCCCTCTCTCACATCACTTCTGTCCTCTCACCGCTCCCACCCCTCAAAAATCCCCCCCCCCCCAGCAGCACTCGGGGGAACCAGCCCCAGTTAAGCACAAACGACGGCAGACACGCAAAGCAGAAGGAAGAGGAGGGAACAGAAGGCCCCGCGCCGAGATCTGACAGCCCTGACAAGCCAGAAACCCGCGTTTATCGTCTTTTTGGGCTCTAACGCCATTTGGGGTTTGGCAGCTCCGCCATCCTCCTCCCCCACCGCGGGAGAGAGACGAGAGATAAACCCCCACAACACGGTATTTGGGACACTTGGTCTGTTCTCAGCAGGTAAATAAATACATTAAAATGAAGATCTGGGGAGGGTTTTTTGATAGTTGGTTGTGCCTCATCTTGTGCACGGGCTCTGATCCAGGGATCCCCCCAGCCTCCATTACACAGTACCAGGGATTCAGCTCCTTATCAAGCCTCGTCTCAAAGTTCAGCTCTGTATTTTCCTGCCCTCATCCCTGACCCCATCCCTGTGCCCTCATTCCCCTGGACAAATCCTGCCCCCATCCCTGTGCCCTCGGCTTACCCAGTGTCGATATGAGCCACTAAAAGCTCCAAACCTGCCCCGTGCCCCCACCCCGCGGCCGGGCAGTCGCTCCCCACCAGGGAGCAGCACAGACTCACCTCCGACTGTGGAGCTTCTGGAATTCCTTCGGGGAGAGCACCAGCTCCAGCCTTCCAAGCACATGGAGCTGGGCTGTACCTCACTGCTCCTCGATGGGTTAAGCACAGCTCAGGTGCAATCCAAGTGCCCGGTGGGACACAGGAAAGCTCCCTAAACCGAGGGGTTCTTCTTAATCAAGTGACCAGGACTCCTTTAGCCCCTTAGAAAACCAGTTCCCCACCAGCTTTTCCATCCTCGGAATTACGTGTCAGCTGGGCTGCACCAGATGCTCCAGGTGTGGAGTTAAACCTGAAAGCAAACCTGGGAAGCAAAAGGCTCAGGATCAGGGGTACAGAGAAAGCCAGAGCCATGAGTGTCACACTGAGGCTGTGAAATCCCTGGCACCCACTAAGCCAAGAGTTCTGGAACAGGTTGGTGCTGAGGAAGTTGGGTGCCTGCTCACCCCCCCTTGGCTCTGCCGAGGGCAGCTCAAGCACCTGTGGATGTTCTTAGGGGAAGGATTTGGGGTACAATACAGCAATTTTGTACCCAATCCACCTAAAAAAAAAATAAAAAAAATCATCTTTTCTCAGAGCACAGGTACAGCCCCATCCATTCCTCACACCCCAGGAGGAGAAAAAACCACCGCTCTGGCTGTGGGCAGGAGTTAACCTTGGTGTTCTATCCCAACACAGATGTGTGACACCCAAACAAAAACAATTCTTATCCACAAACAGCATTTTGGAAGAGGTCCAGCTGACTTATCCCAGCACCAACACAGGTTCCTGACTCTCCCCCTCTGACACAGCCACCATTCAGCAGCACAAGCCATCTCCCAGAAACCCTTCCCAAAACCAGGCTCAGACCAGTCATGTGGTAACAAGGGCCGTTTGTTGGGGCGTCAGAGCCCCGGGGAGGTGGCTCTGAACCCTCTGAACAAAAACACCCGACAGCTGACAACTGCTGAGGTGTCAAAACAAAGCTCTGATTGTCCAGCTAAGACAATGCTGTGCTCTGGGGGAGCAAGGAAATGTGCTGCTCCAGACCTTCCCACCGGGGTGAGGAGTCCCACTGCAGCCCTCGGCTGGTTTTTGTCCCCTAGGAAATGATTCTCGGGATAACAGCACTGTGCAGCTTTATTGAGTCACTCAGTTACAGCAGTATTTTAGCAGACTGACTGGGACAGAGTCAGATATTTACTTTTTTTTTTTTTTGAAGTGTAACAGATATTCAGCATGGAACAGTTACTACAGATTCCTTTCACAAAGGTCTTACAGAGCTGATACAGTACTCGCCATCAACCCAGGAGCGAGAGCACTGGCGTAGAAAAGGATGCAACAAGAAGAAAAGCTACACTGGAAAGACAACACTTTTAGAAAAGTGACACATGGAAGGTTCTCCCCTCTAGCCCCCAAAGCAAGTGTACAGTTTGGATCTAATTTTACAGTTCTACATCAGTTTCTAGAAACTTAAAAAAAAAAATATATATATATAACCGAACCAAAAACCAAAGATAAAACCACTGGCCAGTACAGTCTTTGGATATTTAGAGGAGGGGGAGAGTAAGTTTCCAGAATGAAATCAGTCGGTTTCGGCCTCACCGGGGTCTTTGCCTTCTTTGTTCTTTCGAACCTCTTCGACGTGCTTGTCCTGAAAGACAGCAGCAGGAAGCAGTTAGATCCTGGGAAAGGTATGGATCCTGGGAAAGGCACGGGGCTTCCCACCCCCAGCTCATAGCAGGAACCCTGACGTGGGTCACCGAGGGGGTACGGGGTGGAGCTTTAGAGGAGAAAGCAAAACACTGCCCTAACTCACTCCCTCCGTCCCGTCCCCTCTCCCCCCAAAAGAGCTGCGTTTCTGCACAGCCTTCTGCAGGTTTAAGAACCTCTGAAGGTCACAGCACTCCCAAGGACACCCATCTATTCGCAGCACCCCCTTCACGTGGCCGTTCCTCTGGGGTTTCCAGCCAGTTTTCCAAGCGGGGAGCAGGGATAACTCCCTCTCCAAGGGGCCCCCACACCCACCTTCTCCCGCAAGCGCTCCAGCTTGGCAGCCATTTGTGCCTCACGGTTCTCTTTGTTGGCTTCCATTTTGTGGGTCAGCTTCTCCTCTGCCATTTTGCTGAAGTTGTTGTTCTCCTCGATGGCTTTCTGCAGCACCTCCTTCTCGTGCTCCCGCTTCTCCGCCAGCTGCTTCAACACTTCTGCTTCGTGAGACTGGCAAAGCAGAGGGTGCAGGCGTTGAGGAACCGCACACAGGCAACCTCAGTTGCCCCCAGCTCCTCAGAGAACATGTTTTCTACCTTTTTTTACTGCAGAACAGCAGCTTGGTGCTGCAGGACAGAGCTCCCAGTGCTCCCCACCCCGCCCAGAACCTGTACTTCACCATCACAAGCTACCTGGGAGGTTCAGTTTCTGTCACCATTGTTCAATGGGATTTCTCTGGAAAGAGAACATCAATTTTTTTTTTTTTTTCTTAATGTTAATACTGATGGAACTTTCCTTGAAGATTCTCCTTTCACAGAACGGTGAATCACTGAGATTTAGGTCAGGCTCACTTCAGTCAAAGCCTCAGCACCATCAAGGGCTCCAGGCTACACCAACAGCCAGATCTTTCATCAGTCAGACACTGCATTAACAAACTGCTCATTACAGATTCACCACTACATTTTCTAGGGGAAAATTAATCTGTTCTGGTGCCAAAAGACAAGAAAAGCAGCTTCTTCCTGAAATAGCTGCCCCTCTCAACTAAACGTTTCCCCCCCTGTTTTAATTCAAGTGACAGCTCAAAAATCACTTTGGAAATAAAGCCATGGCTTTCCACACCATGACAAAGGTTCACAAGAGCCCCAGGGATTCCAACAAAGCTCAGTTAATATTCCATTTATCATAACACAAACCACTGATCACTTCTCCCAAACCATTAAAAGCCCAAAAAAACCTGCATGACTTGCACCGGCTGGTTGAGCAGAGCTCGCTTGGGCTGCCCCAGATTTACCTTACGTCTCTCTTCTGCTGCTTCCAACTTCTTTTGAATCTCCTCCAGTGACACATCCTTCTTCTTTGGGGGAGAAAGAGGGAATTCTGGAACGGCTTCTTTCGAGCGGGGACTGAGGATCAGCTCAAAGGCCTGCCCAGAGGCTCGCTTCTCCAGCTCCTTCACTTGGATGTCTAGGAACGTAGGGAAAAAGCCAAAATAAGAGCATTTTTAAGCCACCAACTGGCTTAAAAGCCTTCAAACATTTTCTGCCACAAAGCTCACTGGAGGAGAAGGCATCCAAGACAACAGTTTTGTCTTAAGCACAAGCAAGAGCATTCAAAAATATAGCAGTTTTCTTTGCAATTCCCTCTTGATATTCAACATCACCCAAGCACCTGACATTTTGTTTTAGCCTTTAATATCCAGAATTGGGGGGAAAAAAATAAATTGTCAGCGCTTCAAATTAAAAATCATCATTTCTCCAATGACAGGTCTAAGGATGTTTCCAGGTGCCTGCCTGAAACCCGACAGAGCCAAGAAGAACAGGGAGTTTTCAAGGAAACCCAGAAGCAGGGTTGTGTCTCCAAACCTTCTGAGAGGCACATCAGCCCTGCACAGTGTCAGCTGCACCCGTTTGGGTCCCCAAGATGCCTTGATGACAGTCAGTTCTGCTGAGGGAGCAGATGGCTGCAGGGAGCTGGAGCCCATCTGCTGACACTCTCATCTGAGGAGGCTTTTTGGGGTGTTTTCACAACCACCCAGTTTCAGCAGCTTCACCCAAGCAGCCCAGAGACACGAGAAAAGCACGGGGAGGGAACAGTTTATTTCACTAGATTAGATTTTTAAGTGATTTCTGAGGAAATTAAGAAGCAAAAAAAAAAAAAAATTAAAAATAAAAAGACAAGAGCATTTAGTACATAATGCTACATACCAGAAGTAGCCATGACCAAGAAAATAAGATTCCAGAAGCCAACCCTGGGAGAAGGTCAGTCAGTTGGATTCCTAGATAACAAAGAGACGTGCCTTTGAACAGCAAGCCCACGGATTATATTCCTTCTAATAAAAATTGCTAAGCATAATAAGATCTGCTGAACAAAAGGCAGCCAGGTAGGTTACTGCAGGCAGTGATTCCAGGCAGTCTGTGGGGATGAGGCTGATGTACATTGCTAGGAACAGTGGAGAGGTTCTGCATTATGGGTGTTATTCGAGCATCTTCAACCTCTGTTTTACTCCACCGTAATTAAGATGCTCAAACAAAGACTCAGTTTTACTGAGTGCTGTGGATATTTCACTGCTATCACATACAGGTAGAGCCATCTGAATTAAAACATGGCACACAACAGGGCAGCACAGGCAGAATCCCCGCTGCTCCCGAAGGATCTGAAATGTGCGCAATCAAACCTCATTTAAAATTCTATTTTAATTGCGCAGCCGAAGTCAAGACGTGCAAGGCAGCGAGGGCGCACACGCAGCGCCCGGGGGGGACACACACCTCGTCAAAACGGCGGCGTCATAAAAATCGCCAGCAAAGGGTGTAAAAACCGTTAGAAGAGGGTTTTTTTCGGGGGGTTTTAAGCGATGAGGACGCGGGGGGACGGGCGGGGACGGGGCAGCGAACGGGCGGCGCTGGGACCGCGCACGCCCCCCCCGCGCCCAGCGCGGCCCCGCCCACTACGGGACGCCGGCCAATCAGCGCCGAGGCGGCGGCGGAGGCCCCGCCCCGGCCCCGCCCCCTCGCGCCCGGCCGCTCCGAATTCAAACGGCCGGGGAGAGCGCGCGCGCGCGCCCGCGCGAGGGGGCTCGAGGGAGGGGGGGCGGGGCCAACGGCAACATCCGGGCACCTGCCGCCCCCCGCCTCAGGTGCGGGGCCGCGCCCCCCCCCATTCCTCCCCCCTTCCCGCTTCAGCCCCCTCAGGGGCGAAAGGGACGGAGGGGGGTGAGGTGGGGACGACACGGGCACAAGGGGCTCGAAGAGGGTCCCCCCCAGCTCGATGGCGTCGTGGCGCGGCCGCCCGGACACCGCCCCTTCCCCACTAACAATGGCGGGGAGGGGAGGGGGCGCCGCCGCTGCCGCCGCGGGTAGGGCGTCGCCCCTCGCTGAGGGACAATAGACACCCCCTTCCCCCTCAGCGATCGGGGCGCGGGGACACACATTAGGCACACACACCCCGTTCCCCCCATTGTCTCCCTTCCCTTTGTCACCGCGACGCCCCAAAAGGCGAGCGGCGACGCGATGCCCGCGAGCCGGCGGGGGACAAAAGCGACCCCCCCACGCCGAGCGCCCGCGGATCCCCCCTGCAGCTCACCCTGACACCCACCCTCAGAGCACCCTCCGCCGCCCGCCCCAGCGGGGCAGCGAACCCCCGTAACCATCCACACACACGCATACATACACACAAAAATACACGCACACATATGTAAACGCTCTCAAGACGCGGAGGGCGCCGCGGGCGCACCTCGCGGTCGCGGCCGGGCCGTCCCGTCCCTAAACGCTCTGCTCTCCCACCCCTCCCCTCACGGCAGCACAGCACAGAACAGCCCCGCTCCGCACCCACCTGCCCGCGCCGCCGCTCCGGCCACACTCCGCCCGCGCCCGCCCCGCCGCGCTCTAAAGCGCCAAACAAAGGCACGTGATCCGCCCCGCCCCGCCCCGATTGGCCGAGCGCGCCGGCACGTGCCGTCCGCCGCAGGGGGGGGGGGGGGGGCTCGCGCCCACCCCCTCAGTCACACACACACACACACACGCGCCCCCCCCGCCCCTCACGGCCCCCGCGCGGTGCGTGCCGGGAGCTGTAGTTCGCCCCCCATGAGTGGGGGGCGCGGGGGTCGGTCCCAACGCGACGCCCCCCGCGGCTCTGAGGGGCTCGCCGGGGTCGTAGCCCCCTCGTTGGGGTGTGGTTGTTGCTCCCCGCCCCACCGCCGGTGGCGGGGCTCCCTTTGTCTGCCGAGAAAGGAGAGGGGCACCCGGGGTGGGTGCTGTGGGCGGGGTGAGGGGGTCTGAGCACACAACGGGGTGGTGGGAGGGGGTGTGGGTGGGATGGATGGGACTGGGCATGGACTTTGGGGATGCAGGCACTTCATGGCCATGGGCACTGGACTCATGGCTGTGGTCACCCAGAGCCGTGGTCACCCAGAGCCATGGTCACCTGAAGACTATGGTCACCCTGGGACCATGGTTATCTCAGGCCCACGGTCACCCAGAGCCATGGTCACCTCAAGGCCATGGTCATCTCACAGCCATGGTCATCTCACAGCCATGGTCACCCAGAGCCATGGTCACCCAATTCCATGGTCACCCGGAGCCATGGTCACCTTGGCACCATGACCATTTGCATCAAGACCTTGACCACCTCAGAGTCACAGTCACCTCTGGGCCACAGCACCTACCTCAGGGCTTTTGGTCCCCTCAGGACCATGGCCATTTACTCTACCTCAAGATCATGGTCACCTCAGAACCATGGTCAGCTCAAAGCCATGGCCACAGATCTTTGGGTCATGGCCATCTCAGAGCCACGATCACCTCAGGGCCATGATCTCCTGCACCTCAGGACCATGGCCACATACCTCAGAACCTTATGGCTTGTGGTCACCTCATGGCTCTTGGTCACTTCAGGACCATGGTCACTCCCAGGTCATCATCACCACTTACCCTGGGTCCATGATCACCTCAAGGGCATCATGACCTACCCAAGGGCATGGCCACCTCAGGGCCACAATGGCCTCAGGGCTCTTGGTCATCGCTGAGATGACCACCGTGTCCCTTTGGTCACCTCCAGGTCACAACCACCACAAGCCAACCCCAGAGAGGGTCTGTGGCTCTGACAATGCCTTGGCCCCACAGTGTGTTTTGGGGGACAATGCCATCCTCTCCTTTGGGGTGACACCAGCAAGTTCAAGCACGTCCAGAAAAGCCATTGCTTGTGCAGATTCCAGAGTATGGACAGAGTGGCTCCGTAATGATCCGTCCTTGTCCAGGCTGCCCTGGGAACATTTCCTTCCCAGGACAACACTATTGCCAATCCCAGATAAGCTTTTCCCTCCCAAACGTGCTTTAAATGTTCACATGTTCCATTCAGAGGAATTCTGTACAATTCCCGTGGTGGTTTCCATCCTACAGTCGCTCCAGTTACAACAAGAGTCAATCCACACAAAAGGCAGATGGACACAGAACAGCACAAATCCACAGCCCAGCTCAGCAGCCTCCACACCCAAAATCCCAAATAAAGGACTTTCTGGGACCCCTCTTGTTGTGCACACCCTTAAACCCAAGGATTTTGCACCAAAAAAGAAAAGAAATCTTACCTTGCAGAAGGTTAATATTGTGACAGAAAGGCAAAAAGCTTTCAAAACAGAGATTATTTTAAACACTTGCCCTGTTTTTTGCTGATCTGACGTCTATTTCCATGGAAACCACATCCAGCGCCGAGCTGCTAGAATTGGGAGAGGCTTCTGCCAGAGTGGGCATGGGAAGAGCCATTTTCCCAGCAGCGTGGAAGGACCTATTTGTGGGATTGGAGGGATTTCAGGTTCAAAATCTGAAATCTGGTGTGGCTGCTTGGCCCTTTGGGATCATGCCTGGCACCTTCCCGGGGTTCCTGGCTCCATCCCAGGGAATGCACATCGATGTCACCCACAACACACGTGTTTTTCAACGAAACATCTTGAGTGCTTGGATGAAATGGCATCAAATGTTGCTGGAAGACAAAGCAGCCAAGAGCCCCTGCCATCAGCCTGTGTTTTACTTTATCATTTATTAATTATCACCCGTGTAGCTCAACAGTGCGTTGGATGCTTTAATATTAATGCTTTTTAGTAAAATCAATGAGCTTATCCTGGGATGATCTCAGGATTTCCCAGAGGGAAACAAGGCTTCCTGGGCTCAGGGCTTTTTGGTTTAGTACCTGTGTGATGGCCTTTAGTCAGCACTCACCCCCCAGAGGGAGGATGATGAAATATCCTTTACAGCTTTTGAAGAAGGGATGGAGGCTGAGATAAATCTACTAGTCATGCCTGCTGTTCTCAGCGCTTTCCATCTTATTCCTTGTCCTCTCAAAGGGAAAAAAAAAAGGGGGGAAAAAAAAGGAAAAAAAAAAAAAAAAAAAAAAGAAAGACTTGACTGTAACTTACCTCCCCTTGCAGATTGGCTCTAAAGCCAAAAATATTTCTTTTGGGTAAGAACTGCCTTATGTAAGAGGCAACATGGTTTATTGACGAGAGGCACCGAGCTGGGAATAGGATTTGGGATCTGTTCTGAGCTCTGGTATTTTCTATTTTGCATTATCTGGGTTGAGACTCTTTACCAACCCATTCTGGTGGTGCATCCTGCCCCTTGTCACCCCCTACCCCGACCACACCATGACCTGAGTAATGATCTGAGTAATTCTCTTTAGGCCTTGGCTTTGACAATGCCCAGGCTGAGCTCCTGTGAGCTTGTCAGGAATCCTGTCTGCTCCTGGACAGTGTTGTGCTGCCTAATGACTTTCTTGTTTTTTTAACAGACATCCCTGGAAATTTTTGACCGAATAAAGTTTTTATTGTGTAGTAAATCATATATATAGATCCAAGTTAGATTGTTAAGTTAATAAGTGTTAAGTTAATGCTGCTAAGTGTTAAGTTATAAGTTAAGTGCTGCTAAATTAAGCCATAAGCAAAGTTAAGTGTTGCCAGGCCTTTGGGCCATATCCCTTTTTGTCCTTATATCTTCTGTCCTTTTGTCTCACCTATCCCCCCACCCCACCCCAACCACAGCCTCCATACACACGGTCTTGTGTTTATTTCAGCCCAGACTGACACTGATTTTGGATTTTTGTGTGGTTTTTCTCGGTGTATTTTAGCTGCTTAGTGAGTAGTAGAGTGAACCTTGCCACAAACTCTCTTGTGCTGTTGCATTTATATTAAACCTGCTTTCACTGATACCTTTGCTGGTGACTTTTTGAGCGACCCTGAAACACTCACTTCACAACACCCCTTTACAACACCTGCCACAACTGGTTTGAATTTAAAACAAGATCTTTTGAGTGTTATTGTGATGCAAAGAGAAACAACACCTCTCAGCAGCTGGAAAGGCACGGGGACTATCTCATGTTTGGCCTGATTGCAAGAGTGGTTTTATTTTTGGAGCGTTTCATAAAAGCCCCATTTGTTTACGTGGCACTTATTTTCGTCTGATCTCAAGGAGAATGGAGTATATGAAAAGCTTTTATTTAATTTGCATTTGATTTGTGTTTATTGACACATTTACTGCAATTCTAAAGAGACTCTTCCTTCCTCCAGCCCTGCAGCATGTGGCTGTGGTAGTTTTTATCTACTGGATTCCTTATCACCAACAAAAGCATTTTTTTGCTTTAATTCCAGTTTTACCACTAGAAGAGCAGGCAGCAGTGGGAGAAATATCCTCCAACATGTCATATATAGCCCCAAAACAGGGTTCGAGAAGGAAAATACCGCTTCAGGCCCAAATTTAACATCAGAAGGAATTTGTGCCGGATGAATTTAGGCATCCTGAGGAAAATAAAGGATCACAGCAGAACCTGCAGAAGATATTCCCAGTGTAGAAAGGACAAAGGCTTTGTAAATTAGGAATATGACCAGTGGCTATGACCAGTGAAGAATTTGAGATGGTGATAACAGCACCCACTTAGAATCATTGCCCTCATGCCTCTGGCAACCACTGTAGGTGCTCAAGGGGAGCTCATTCCCACCACAAACTAAATATGAGGCCCCTTGGCTTCATCTCAGCCCACTCTGCTCTTGGTGAAGCAGATAAATCAAGGTCTCATAGGAGGGACTCCTGGTACCTGTGAATTTAGGACGTGACGTGACCAGATTTAGCATAAAGATTAAAGCATCTCCTCTGATGTGCTTATCAAAACATCCCACAAAGAGACTGACATAATTAGGTGACAACTCAGCCCACGGCAGCTCTTTTAACTTGCAAAAATATTTAATCTCCAATAAGGAAATGTGCTTTCTGAGTGTTAAATTGCCAGCCTTGAGCACTGGTGGTGGGGGGGACTGACAGCTTATTTGTTAATGGGAGGATGTTTGAAAACACCTTGGTAAGTAATACTAGTAAGTGTTGGCTAAGGCTGGTAACAGTCACTGAATTAGCAAAGTTTATTTTAAAACTAGAAATCCAATATATTATTTGACCTGAGTGGATCAGTTTAAGAGATTTAATAAATAACCTGATAGAGGAGACAGGAGTTAAAAGAAATGTTCTCTTGGCTACAAGATTTCTTTCTACCCATGAAATTCATTGATCTTTGATTTTTTCCAATCCTAACAATTCTATGATTTTGTGGTTTTCAGTATTAATATTAACTTGGAGCCATTTTTTCCCCCTCACTTGCAGCTTCCCCACCCTTACACTGGATGTGCCAATGTGCCCCTACCCAACAAAGGCCTTGCAAGGAAAATTAGTGGCCACAAAGGTCTCATTGGTCTTCAGATAAAACTACATTTTAATCCAAATGCAGCTGAGTTGTCCACAGAATTGAAGAATAAAACAAGACTTTTAGGGACTGTCTCCCTCACAATGAAAGCTTTTCCACAGGCAAGAAACATTCAAGGTAATTGGTATTTGTTTACTAGAGGTGTTTAGGCTGATACTATATTTATGCTGAAAAACACCATTAAGAAAATGTTCCCTTCGGAATAAATTTGCACTTGCCAATGTGCTGTTGGAAGTAATTTAATTTTTTTCAAATCAGACAGGGTGCCTGGCTCCCAGTGCCAGGTTGTTTCTTGAGAAATTCGCTCGAATCTGTTAATTCCTCCTTCAAATGAGACAAGTAAAAGTGCTCAGAACAGATGGTGACTGCGCCTGCAGCAACAGAGATGAAGATATTAATTAATTGCTTTGATATTGGGGCAATATAACCCTGAAATGTCACGTTCATCTCTTCAAATGCAGCCACATATTGCATGATACCCAAATACTGTGGTGACGGGGGCTGACAAGGCTCTAGAGTAGAAGAAGAACATAAGTTGCTGATGAAATAAAGAGAGAGGCTCCAGGAGAACTCTGTTCCCCTTCCAAAAAATTCTCAAACACACCAAAACAGCCACAGACCCTAAAATAAGGTCAGGGGCTGTGGTACCCACCACGAGCACCTTCATCCTCAGGATGCTGAACAAGATCTGTCTTTCCCCTGTCACCCAGCCTGGTCAAAGGAACAGCAGAATTCCCTTCCCAGCCTTCTGGCATATTTTTCATCCTTAGTTTCCTAAGAAAACGAGGGTTTACATGTTCAAACTCCTTCTGTAACTCTGCCTGGTCCTCTCCCCCTGAAGCTTTTAGCTTCAGTCCCTGCCACTCCGATAAATATGGATAAGAGCTCGGTGACATGAATTCCACAAGTTTCTTGAAAACAGATGGCTGGGGAGAGGCAAGAGCGAGGAAAAGGCTCCAGCACAAGCCCAACTATTATTAGAGAGCAGAGATTTCACACCAGGCAGAGCTCTCACAGCCACTCCCTCGAGCAGGGACGGTTTCAGAGCTGTTTTGTTTCCTTCCTGGCACCAGCAGATCCTGCAGGACATTCCTCTGCAGGTGTGTTCTCCTGGCAAATATAAGGACAGATCCATGTGGGTGCTGGCTCCCAGCTCCACTACATCCAGAAACACGTGTTGGAAGCTGTCCTGGAGATCTCCTCACGTTGCTTCCCCCCTCTCCTGTCTCCCAACCAAGCCAGGAGCCTCGACCCATTTCTCTGCGTCCTCCCTGCTTTTCCCTCTCTGCTCCAAACTGGAGCTCACCAATTTGCATTTCCATATGGAGCACCAAGAGCTTTGCTATTCAAGGAAGCCTGTAAACATCTCACTACCAGGGGTTCAAAAATAACTGTGCTGCTCTGAGCTCCATCACCCTGTGGTAGTGAGGGGCTGGGGAAAAGCACAAAAAAAAGGTATTATGGGGTGGTTTCTTTGGTGTACGAGCCAACAGAAGACGTACTAATTAGATTTCAAAAGTGTCAGAGTCAGCCATTTCAGCTGGGATACAGCAAAGGAGACAGTGTGATTCTGACAACCACATGGAATAGAAATGCATGGGGAAGGCATAAAATATTCAACAGCCATAGAACATTCCAGTAAAGGCATTTGGATCTTTGAAAACAAGGTGGGGAGGAGGAAGGAAAGCTGGGTATAGCACTAATTATTCCCCAGTTCCTAATTAGTTCCCTGAATTTAAAATATGGATTCAGCTCCACCAGCAGCTCAGCAAGTCCTTTGTGCTATTAATACTTCCCTGGCGTGATATGGTTAAAAATACTCCCACCCTTTCAGGCGAAAATGTGGCTTGGAAGTGTCACGATGGGAGGAGTTCAGGGATGGAAATCCTCTTAAAGGAATATGACTTCCCCAATATCAAATAAACAGTATGAATGGGCTTGTAAAAGCCCCCAGACTGAGCCTGTTCCCACAAAGGGCAAATCTGAAAATAATTCTCAGTGCAGAGCTCTCGGGCCGCCCGATATCAGAGCGGTTTCCCTGGCAAAAATCGGTGCACAGCCAAATGGGAAGAGGTTTTTATTTTTCAGGAGACCTGCTGCCTGGGGAGCAGGTGGGTTTGCAGTTCTCAAGTGCCTGGGTCCCTCAGACACACGGCACGAGGCTGAACTCCCATCAAAAGGCAGGATTTTGAAGTGTTCCCCCTTCCTCCCACCCAGGGAACGCAGGGGATCCCAACCCACCCAGAGCAACAGCCATTTTTCCCTGGAATTCTATAGGTGTTTGTGGGTGAGATCCATCCAACACCGTGGGCAGAATAAAACATGCCTCTTCCCACAGGATTTGTGAGACAAGGAAACAAGTCTGGGGCAGGGGGAGAGTGTTTATGGCACCTTTTAACTTCAGTTTGAGGAGTCCAGGTTTGTGTTTCCACGTTTTAGATCCCCTCAGGAAAACAAGCAGTTCCCCTCCCAGCTCCACCGACAGTTCTGCACCAAAATGGGTTAATTCCTGCTCAGTTCCCCTGGAATCTCAGCAATACCAGCGCGGAAACAATACCTGCACTTAACATTTGCTCCGTGCTGTTTGATCCCTTTTCCCCCTACTAATTTGTGGCTGTAATAGATCAATATATAAATTAAAAGACAAAAGAACCTGACACAGCCACTGCAGGCTGTGAGGGCAGACAAAGGCAGCCTTTGTAGTGGAAAAATATCTCTGTCTTTTAGGCAATAAAGGCAGCAAACTGCTGCTGTACACCAAAATCCACATCCAGAGAGACATCCTTACACAGTGGGCAACATAAATTTTAATTACATTTTTTAAATTTTAATTAAATTAAAAAAAAAAAAAAAACAACAACGACTCCCCCCCCCCAAACAACCCCCAAACAAGGCCTTGGGTGATAAATATCAGAGAGCCACTATCAACACGAGGGGCCAAGGCAGCCTGAAGTTGGTGGTTTGGGGTGTCCAGTGCCACCGTGTCACCCAGGGAGGGGTGCTGACAGTCTCAGGACCTTCCCACACCTCAGTCTGGAGTGAAAATATAAGCTAAAGGGCTAAAAAGGAGGGTGAGACATTTGGGGTCTCCTCCTTGCCCAGCTCCCTGCTCTCCCCCTCCTCACACTGGGGTGCAAGGCAGGAGCCAGGCTGAGCTCAGCCTGCCCTTCCTAAAATGGGGGAAAGCTGAATATTGACCAAAATGGACCATTTCAATCTGTTTCAGCAGCTTTTTCAGAGTAGCCTGGAACTGGAGAGACCTCACACAGCTCCTTCTCTCCTCCAGCACTTCAGTTTCCTCCCCAGTCCTTTATTCTCCTGTTTATTCAGGAATCATCTAGAGACCGCTCCAGCCCAAAACAGGGCTTCTGCTGCAGAGTAAAAGCTGTCAGAAAAACCAGTTGTGCCCCCCAGATCCCCTCAGTGCTGCTGGGTGAGGGGACAGGAGCCCTCTTGGCCCAAGGTGTTGTATTTTGAAGGGCAGGGAATTCGTCAAGCACCACACCCGGAGCACAGAGCATCGAAGCCGGGCAAGCACGTGCCCAGCTCTGCATCCCAAGGGCCTGTCCTGCCCCAGATCCCAGCGTGGGAGGAACTTGGGAAGATGACAGCACTGAGCTGAATCCCTCGTGACTGCAGCATTCCGGGCTTTCAGCTCAAGGGTTCGGCGGCAAAAACTCGCTTCGGAGATCGGGAGACTCGGGTTTCCTCCGGAACATCACCCAGGGCAAAGTTTTGATATTCCAAAGGAAAAAAAGAAAGACCCGACATAAAAGCCAAGTGTATACTCACCAATCAAAGGAATTCTGCTCGAGAAGGTGCTGCCCAGGGTTTGGGTCAGCACTGCACCTCTGCCCACGCTGTTCTTCGGGGCCGGTTGTGGGCACTGGGCTCCTCTACCAGGGTTTGTGTGTTCTCACTGCACACACTGGGCTCAGCTGGCAGGGTGCTGGACCCTCACAGCCTGTTGTGAATCCAGGCCTTGCTGCTTTCCTTAAAAAAAAAAAAAAAAAAAACCGAGAAAAAGGAAAAAAACCAAACAAAACAAATCCCCGCCACCACCCCCACCCCCCACGACAGCGTTACGGTAATTACAAGGAGGTTTAACACGCCTCGATTTGCATTAATTAAATCAACGGGGAGGCTTCAATTGAAGCAAATGAGGTTTTCTGTACACGGCGGCAGACGCTGGAGCTGGGAACTCCAGTTTGCTGCATGGATGTGCGGCGGGATGGGGAGGGACCTGCCGGCTGCAAGGGGCTTCCCAGGAGGGAGGGAGCCTCGGGCAGGATGAGCTGGGGGTGGGGAGGATGAGGAGAAGACTCTCAGCTCTGAGATGTGAAGAGCTCCAAGCCGGGTCTGTGCTGACACTGCCGGATTTGAGCCCTGGGAGTGGAAAGCTTTGGAGCAGGAGCCGTTTGGAGAGCGGAGGTTGCTCTGCAGGGATAAGCTGTGGGTAAGAGGAATGTTTCCATTCATACCCCGGCCCTGCTGCAAGCACAGCTGTGAGGGGAATATAAATGGGCAGCAGGGTGGGTTGTTTGGGTTGGGTTTGTTCTTTTTTTTTATTATTATTTTTAAAGCCACCAGTTTGAATAGTGAAGCAGAGCTGACACACTGGAATGCTTGGCTGGACGTGAGACCTTCCAACACCCACCCCTCCAGGGCAGGGCATGGCCAGCCTGCAGGGGGGTGCTCACAGGGCCGACCCCACAGCTTAACAGAGTCAGTGTTTCCTTCCCATGACCCTGAGAAACAAAATCCACCTGGATTTAGGGCTCTAAAGCATTCTAGTTCACATGCAAACCCAAACCTTCGGGTTGGAAGGACACGACCAGCCCAGAGCTGGTGCTGGAGAGGTGCAGTGGCAGATCAGATCCTGGGATAGCCCTTAACTCCTGCTTTTTTTGCCAGAAAACCTCCCAGTGTGGCACAGGCAAGCCTGGAGCAGCCTGGGACACCCCAAAGAGTGGAGGGCTGTCCCCTCTGGTCGCTGGCCCGGGCAAGTGGCAGGGACTGATGGTCAGTCTCTGCCTGTGGCCAGCCTGGGAAGCACCAACAGAGCTGTCCCAGCCCCTTCCTTCCCAACCTCTCAGGGCCAGCAGAGCAATCCCAGCAAGCTGGGACTAGGGGATGTGCCGGTTGTGGCCGGGGTAGAGTTGATTTCCTCCACAGTAGCTGGCCTGGGGCTGTGTTTGGGTTTGTGCTGAACACAGGGTTGATAACTCAGGGATGTTTTGTTGTTGTTGAGCAGCTCTTGAACAACATCAAGGCCTTTTCTGCTCCTCGTATTACCCCCAGTGATCAGGCTGGGGGTGCACGGGAAGTTTGGAGGGGACACAGGTGGGACAGCTGACCCTGACTGACCCCAGGGATATCCCAGCCCATACAGCCCATCCTCAGTGTATAAAGCAGGAGGAAAGAGGAGGCAGGGGGGACACTGGCAGCGATGGCATTTGCCTTCCCAAGTCACCCTTAGGCAGTGGCTGAACCCCTGCCTGCCCATGGGAAGTGGGGAACGAATTCCTGGTTTTCCTTTGCTTGCACACACACAGCTTTAGCTTTCCCTATTAAACTGTCTTTATCTCAACCCACGAGTTTCCTCACTGCTCCCATTCTCTCCCCCATCCCCACTGGAAGGGTGGGAGCAAGTGGCTGCGTGGGGCTTGGATGCCAGCTGGGATTAAACCACGTCAGGGAAAACACCTTCCTGGTGTGCTCTGCTGGGATTTGTGCCACATCTTTCACACACATAATGGAGATCTGGAGCAAAGCACTGCTTGGGAGGGAGCCTGGCTGAAGAGATGGCTTCAGGCTGGATTTTAAAGCAGATGCAATAAGTCAGTGAATTAGGAAAACGCCTGGAGAGAGGGCTCCTGCACCATCACATCCCACAGAGAGCAGAGAGAGGCCGATAGAGCAGAGGGAGGAGGGTGTCTGCCCTGCCCAAGTGACCCCAGGGATTTTTCGAACTCTTTCTGGCAGGATTTTCCTCCAGAGGCACAAAAATAATTGGGAAAGTGGTTCTGTTTGGCTCTGGAGTGGGGGGCAAAGGGATGAAGGGCCAGGCAGAAGGATATCTGCCTGCTTCCCTGCTCCCCCAGCCCCCCGGGTACTGGGGATGGGAATGAGCAGCTTCCCATGAACCGAAGGGTTAATGGATGTCAGACACCCTCCGAGAAGAGTCTGTTTCTGCCACCCCCTTCTGAAAGCCTTTACATAAGAGTCTTGCAGAATTTATAGCCTGTCTCAGCTGTGCCACCACTGGGCTGCTCCCCTGTGGCTGCCAGAGCAGATCCCCGGCCCTGCTAATTCCGGAGGAAAATGGGATTTGATTTCTGCACCAGTCACTGTCTCTCACTGTTAAAAGGGGACCTGACGGGCTCTGTCCTTCCCCCCCGGGCTCAGCCACACGATTCCTCACACACATCGACCTTGAATGTCCCCCACCCACCCCCAGCATCACAGCAGAGGATTGTCTCCATGGGCTGTCACACCCCAGCCTGAACCCAGGGCTGGAAACAGTGTAAAACATTTTAAAATAAATGTCTGGAAGCCTTAAAAGCAGCAGGGCCTTGTGGTCCAGTTCACATCAGTCCTTTGTGTGTCACTGGGGAAAGGAGGAGACACTGAGTGATGTCCTCCCTGCTGCTGCACGGTGCTGTGCCTTCCCCTGAGGCCATCCTGGATCATCCTGGAGCATCTTCAGCCCCAGGGCTTGCCCTTGGCTGAGAGTGGCTGTGACACAAACAACCCAGGCACCAGAGGAGTGAAATTCTGCTTTTCCGTTCCCTTTCTTCCCCTGGAAAAGGGCTTTGCTGGTACCCGCGTCACCAGGAGAGGATCAGCACCACCCGTCTCCTCCAGCCTCTCCTCCTTCCTTCCCCCAGGAAATCCTGCCTCCGTGTAGCCCCAGGCGCTGTCTGTGCAGCTTCTCTCCGGGATGGCAGGGGATGGAGCAGAGCCGGAGCCGCCGCCGTCCCCCCCGGGTGTGTCCCAGCTGGAATCCCGCGCCGCGGCGGGGACAATGCGAAAGCAGATGGTGTGTCAGGAGCCGGGATGCTCCCGGCAGCTGCCGAGCCGGCGTGTCCAGGATCCCTGCTGCCTCTCCCACCTCAGTGCCAGCCAGGACCCTGGGGAGGGGCTCCGAAGGGGTAAATCCGTGCGGCTCCACCAGCTTCAGCCCTTCCTCGGGCTGGAAGTGTCACTTTTCATGCTGCACAGCCAGGCTGGGTTGTTTTCCTTCCATCCCTGAGGCCAATCCCAGTCCCCATTTCACATCCCTGTCCTGCTGAGGTGTTCAGAGGCACCTCCTTCCAGCCAGCTTGCTCTTTCTTTTTCCCCCCCTCCAGATTCTCCTCTTTCTTTCCCCCTCCAGATTTTAGGCATGAAGGCAGCCATCTGGCCAGCTTTCCAGGACTATGAAAGGATTTTCCTTACTTCTGTGCTTGGAGCCCTGATGCTGCATCTCTCCATTCTTTTGGCTGTGGCTGAACTACCCCCAACCCACAGCAAACAACTCCCCTCCCTGCTCCTGCCAGATGTGCCCCAGCTGCAGCAGATCCAGTGAGGGATCACTGCCCACCCACCCCATGTGCAGGAAGGATCTCACCTCGTGCCCAGGTGAGGCCCTGGCACAGGTTGCCCAGAGAAGCTGTGGCTGCCCCTGGAATCCCTGGAAGTGTCCAAGACCAGGTTGGACAGGGCTTGGAGCAACCTGGGCTAGTGGAAGGTGTCCCTGCCCATGGCAGGGGGTGGAATGAGGTGATCCTTAAGATCCCTTCCAACCCAAACCAGTCTGTGACTCTACGACAGCCAACCCAGTCTTTATCCCTGTGGATTTTATTCCCTTTGCCCCACAGCCCTCACTGCAGGCACATGAGCAGGGAGGGCTCCCCTGGCATGTTCCATGACATCCTGTGAGCACAGTCCCCAGCTCCTGCTCTCTCCATGGGCCCTCCTGCCCTTCCTGGGTCCTGCACGGATCGTTCTGGGTGAGAAGGAGCGAGCTCTGACCTCGGAGCAGCTACAGGTTGGACCGGCAGAACGGTGCTTCTGGAACAACCGAGTCTCCCACGCCTTCCAGGAGGTCATCCCACTGATCAAACTCCTCTTCCAGGTCTGCACAGGGCACAGATGGTTGGGAGGTTACTACAGCCTCATCAGCCCGACTCCAGGGGTCACAGAGGAGCAGCCACTCAACCCCTTTGCTGTGGGAAGCACCGATCCCAAGCCCAGCGAGGCAGTGGCCACCCCGCAGCCCCCCACAAGCTGGGGAGCTCTCCTGCCCTCCCCAGCCCCTGAGCAACCTGCCCTCCACCCGTACTGAGGTGCCTCTGCAGGAAGGCCAGAGCTGCCTGGCTGGTGATGGCCAGAGCCTTGTTGGGGTCGAGGGTCCCCCTCGCGCCGAAGATGCGGCTGATGAGCTTCCCGGGGAGAAAGGCAAAGTCAGTCTGGCTCTCGTGCACGGTTCCCCTGGACAGGGAAGGGATGTGCTTCAGTGGGAGCTGGGGAGAGGTTCTCCTGCTGGCACACAGCCCGTAGGTGCTCCCTCCAGCCCCAGCTCACAGGACGGTGATAATCTTCGTCTGGCTGTTCCTGGAGCTCAACCTCTTCATTTTGGCAACGCTTTCTGGAGTCTGGAACTTCTCGGTGTTGATGAAGAGCACGGGCTTGGACACCTCTGGGTACAGCACGTTCTCCAGGGGGAACATCCAGGCGTCGAGAGCCACCGCGCACCTGCAGCAGGATGGACACCCAGCACGGCTTCCCTTCCCACCGGGATGAGCCACGTGTCCCTGGAGCTTCTGCAGCTCCTCATCCCTGCCGTGGCTTACCTGAAGCTGGGCTCTTTCACCAAGGCCAGCACCGCTGTCACCCCACCAAAGGAGTGCCCCATGACGGCCACTTTGGCCAGATCAACGTTGCCCTGCGAAAAGGAGAAGGCTGTGCCCAAACCTCGCTGCAGGAGGTCCCTAATTAGGGAAGAAAAAGCCAAGGGAGGATCAGCAAAGTCCCGCTGAGAGGGGGGAAAATGTTGTGTCTCATTTCCACTGCTGGTGTGACAGGACCTGGCTTCCCAGCATCCACGGGGGAGGGAAGGGGAAGAGAGGCTCCAGGAACCCGAGAGGTGGAAAGCTGTGGCTCTGCACGGACCCTGCCTTTCCCAGGAGGAAAAGTCTCAGGCAGCAAGGACTGATCCTGCCCCCAAAGGAAACCTGGACCCCCCGTCCCCACCCGACCTCCCAGCAGGTCCTTCAGCA